GACAATCACTGCGTTTCAGTTGAGCAAGTGTCTAGACTACTGATATTTAATGTGATGATTATTGCTGGATTTAAATCTGGTCTTGTCAGATTTTTCCGTTTGTCCCGTCTGTCCTGTTATCTTTTCTGTCTTTACCCGCCGTCTTTAGACTAAAAGTTATTGTTATCTCTGTTGACTTCTTAGCTGTTGTATCTCTGTAGTTGCTCTGGTCCAGCGTACCTCTTTAACTTACCACAGTTGCCTTCAAATATGATACCACTTGATGTAAACATAGGAATCTGAGAAACTTAGGGCCTCTCTCCTTCCTGCCCTTTGCACCCTACTGTTTCCATGTATTTACTTCTACAGATGTTCTGTATTCTGTACCCTGCAATTCCTTGTTAGGCTTTCAGTGAGCAATGATTTAGAAAAGAAATTTGAAACAAAATAGATCTTATATTTACCCACATTTGCCAATTACAGCAGTCTTCACTGCTTTTATAGATGTAAGTTTGCATCTGCTAGCATTTTCCTCATCTGAAGAATTTACTGCATGCTTCCATGCAGACCTGCTGGCGATGAATTCACTCAGCTTTTCTTGGTCTGAAAGTGTTCTATTTCAATCTAATTCAGGTTGGGAAGGATAGTTCACTGCATATACAATCCAGGTTGACAGGTTTTTTTTCTTTTAGTACGTTAACGATTTCATGCCATCATCTTCGAGCTTGTGATGTTCTGACCAAGAAGTCCGCTGCTCTCTTACCTTTGTTAACTATTTATATGTTGCGCTTTCTCTTCCACTGCTTTTCCACGGTCTGGTTCTGACGTGCCTTGGAAGGGTTTTTGTGCATCCCACTAGGTTTCCTCATCTCTGAAAGTCCCAGTTGGTTCTTCTACAATATCCTCTAGGTCTCAACACATTCATCTTGGCTAATTCTATTTATTTAACATTCAATAGTGAGCACCTACTGTGTACCTGACGTCATGAAACAAAATAAAGATCCCTGTTCTCATGAAGCATATGTTCTGGGAGCAAAGAGAAAACAAAAAAATAAGATTATGAACCTTGTGTGATAGGGAGTCAGCACTGCAGGATGAAGTAGAGTTGCCTAAGAAGAGCGAGGGAGGGGGCTAATTACAAGGCTGGCGAGGGTGGGCTGGGAGCAGCCTTCCAGGCAGGAGAGTGGGCTCCACAGAGGGAAGCAGCGGGGCTGGAGAGGCGGGTGGTGGGCAGCACTGACAGTTTCACCCTGGCTGCTGTGAGGTGAGTGGACTCTAGGGGTGTGAGGGCAGAAGTGGGGGGACAGGCAGCTGCTGGGCCTATGGGGGTCCCCCAGTAGGTTGGACGCAGGGGCCCATGGGCCCCCAGGTCACTGGCCTGAGTAAGTGGAAGGACAGACATCCCATCAGCTGCACCGAGGGTGTAGGCAGGAGACGGGACTGGGCCACACAAACATCACAGGCCACTTGGGTGGACACAGGTGTCACAGGAGGAGAAGGAGGCGCAGGGCAAATGCACAGCTCTTCCCAGGAACAGCATGTTTTTGTGCAGATAGGTAACAGTCCAGTGCGCCTGCGTCTGTGGTGCCTTCACCCGGTTCTGCATCCATCTGAGAGCCTCGAAAACATGCAAACTGCTGAGCACCTGCTGAGACCCCCTCAAAGAGCCCCAAGCGCCGGGGCCCTCAGGACCTAGGGGTGAGGCAGGCGTTCCTGAGGAAAAGGCAGAGACAAAACCCAAAGGGGTTCCTGTGGGAGGGGGGCACACAGGGCGCAGGCTCCAAGCAGGTGCTGGGTGAGGCCACCGCCTGGCTCTGAGGACCCTCAGGTGCAGCAGGCCAGAGAGGTGAGGGGGTCACCCCCAGGGCCCTCCTCCCCGGGTGGGGTTGCCCAGTACCCATGGGTGCGCACGGGCGGCTGGACCGCGCGAGTCGGGGCCGCGCTGCATGAGGAGCGAGGGACTGCGGGGCCTGGCGAGGCCAGCCGGGCCTGCCCTGCTCAGCCGGCAGGGGCGGGGGCCGTCCCGGGGAATGACGAAGCCTGGCAGGCGCCCAGGCCAGCGCCCGGAGGCGTCCTCGCCTGCACGGCGACGGCTCCCGAGCTGACCGCCTCCAGGAGCGGCGCGGACTCCCGCGGGCGTCCGACGGGGGTCAGGGGCCGCCAGGGCCCCGCGTGCCGGCAGGTGCGGGGGCCGCCACGCAAGCCGCCCCTCTCCACGTCACCCAACCCCGAACGTCGTGCGGGCCTCGGCCCTGGGGGAACCCCCCCGCCGCCTCCTCCTCGGCCCCTCGGCCCCTCGGCCCCTCGGGACAGCGGGCGGCGCGGGGCGGCGCGGGGCGGCGGGGTCTCCGGCGCCCGCGGGAGAAGCGCGCACCGGCTCCCACCCTGGCCATCCCGGCCTGTCTGTTGCGGTCGCAGGGCCCGGGGATCCCACACTCCTGGGCGACCGCCCCGCCTTGCCCCGGCACCCGGGCACGCGGCTCCTTTAAGGACTTCCTGCGCCCGCCCGCTTCCTTTTTCTCGCCCGCCTCGGCCGTCCCGACCCTCCGGGAGCGCGCCTGCGTCACCGCGCAGACCTCGGCCCCGCCCCGGCGCTCGCGCTTCCAGGGTCAGGGCGAGCCACTGGCTGCCGAGCCCGGGGCCACGTGACAGGGGGTGGGCGGGGCCCCCGCCGGAAAGGGCGGGCTAAGGTGACAGCGGTCGCGTCGCGCCTAGGTGCGGTCGTCGCCGCGCTGACCTTCGTCCCCGCGCAGCCCGTGCCAGGGCGAGCCAATGACTGTGGCGAGTTGGGGCACGTGATAGGGGCGGGTTCTGCGCCGGAAGGGGAGGGGCGAGGCGAGCGGCCTGGTACGCGGTAGGTGTCGCGGTCGTCGCGATACCCGGCAGGGGCTGTGGCCGGGCCGGGCCTTTCTGAGGGCCGGCCTCGTCCCCGGGACTGTTTCCCTCCTTCTCCCCAGGACGCGCCGCGCCTCCGCCCGCTTTCTTCCTGGGACGCCGTCCCTCCTCCCCCCGCTCCTCCTCCTCCTCCCCCCCCCCCCAGGACCCTGTCTCTCCCCCTCTTCCCCCTCTTCCCCCTCCTTCTCCTCCCCGGGACACCGTCTCTCCTCCCCACCCCCCCCACCGTCCCTCCTCCCCCCGCTCCTCCTCCTCCCCCCCCCCCAGGACCCTGTCTCTCCCCCTCTTCCCCCTCCTTCTCCTCCCCGGGACACCGTCTCTCCTCCCCATCCTCCCCCCCCACCGTCCCGCCTCCCCCCGCTCCTCCTTCTCCTCCTCCCCTCCCAGGACCCTGTCTCTCACCCTCTTCCCCCTCCTTCTCCTCCCCGGGACACCCACCGTCTCTCCTCCCCATCCTCCCCCCCCCACCGTCTCTCCTCCCCCCCGCTCCTCCTCCTCCTCCCCCCCCCCCCCAGGACCCTGTCTCTCCCCCTCCTCCCCCTCCTTCTCCTCCCCGGGACACCGTCTCTCCTCCCCACCCCCCCCCACCGTCCCGCCTCCCCCCGCTCCTCCTTCTCCTCCTCCCCTCCCAGGACCCTGTCTCTCCCCCGCCTTCCCCTCCTTCTCCTCCCCGGGACACTGTCTCTCCTTCCCCCCACTCCTCCTTCTCCTCCTCCCCTCCCAGGACCCTGTCTCTCACCCTCTTCCCCCTCCTTCTCCTCCCCGGGACACCCACCGTCTCTCCTCCCCATCCTCCCCCCCCACCGTCTCTCCTCCCCCCCGCTCCTCCTCCTCCTCCCCCCCCCCCAGGACCCTGTCTCTCCCCCTCTTCCCCCTCCTTCTCCCCGGGACACCGTCTCTCCTCCCCATCCTCCCCCCCCACCGTCCCGCCTCCCCCCGCTCCTCCTTCTCTTCCTCCCCTCCCAGGACCCTGTCTCTCCCCCTCTTCCCCCTCCTTCTCCTCCCCGGGACACCGTCTCTCCTCCCCACCCCCCCCCACCGTCCCGCCTCCCCCCGCTCCTCCTCCTCCTCCCCCCCCCCAGGACCCTGTCTCTCCCCCTCTTCCCCCTCCTTCTCCTCCCCGGGACACCGTCTCTCCTTCCCCCCGGTCCTCCTTCTCCTCCTCCCCTCCCAGGACCCTGTCTCTCCCCCGCCTTCCCCTCCTTCTCCTCCCCGGGACACTGTCTCTCCTCCCCCCGCTCCTCCTTTTCCTCCTCCCCTCCCAGGACCCTGTCTCTCCCCCTCTTCCCCCTCCTTCTCCTCCCCGGGACACCGTCTCTCCTCCCCCTCCTCCCCCCCCACCGTCCCGCCTCCCCCCGCTCCTCCTTCTCCTCCTCCCCTCCCAGGACCCTGTCTCTCACCCTCTTCCCCCTCCTTCTCCTCCCCGGGACACCCACTGTCTCTCCTCCCCATCCTCCCCCCCCACCGTCTCTCCTCCCCCCCCCCCGCTCCTCCTCCTCCTCCCCCCCCCCCAGGACCCTGTCTCTCCCCCTCTTCCCCCTCCTTCTCCTCCCCGGGACACCGTCTCTCCTTCCCCCCCCCCCCCCCCCCGCTCCTCCTTCTCCTCCTCCCCTCCCAGGACCCTGTCTCTCCCCCGCCTTCCCCTCCTTCTCCTCCCCGGGACACTGTCTCTCCTTCCCCCCACTCCTCCTTCTCCTCCTCCCCTCCCAGGACCCTGTCTCTCACCCTCTTCCCCCTCCTTCTCCTCCCCAGGACACCCACCGTCTCTCCTCCCCCCCGCTCCTCCTTCTCCTCCTCCCCTCCCAGGACCCTGTCTTCATCTTCCCCCGCCACCGCCCCCCCCCCCCCCGCTCCTCCTCCTCCTCCTCTCCCAGGACCCTATCTCTCCCCGTCCTTTCCCTCCTTCCCCTCCTTCTCCTCCCTGGGACACCGTCTCTCCTCCCCATCCTCCCCCCCACCCCCGTCCCGCCTCCCCCCCCTCCTCCTTCTCCTCCTCCTCTCCCAGGACCCTGTCCCTCCCCCTCCTCCTCCTCCCCCCCTCACACACTGTCTCTCCTCCTCCTGCTCTTTCTTCTCCTCCTCCTCCCCCCCAGGACTCTGTCCCTCCCCCTTCTCCCCCTCCTCCTCCCTGGGACACCGTCCCTCCTCCTCCTCCTCCCCACACCATCTCTTCTCCTCCTCCCCCCACCAGGACACCTATCCATCCTCCTTCTCCTCCCCCTCCTCTTCCCTTTCTTTCCATCACACTGTCCCTTTCTCCCCCTCCTCCTCCTCCCTAGGACTCCGTCCCCTCCCCCCTCCTGGACGCTCCCTCTTCCCTGGGACACCCCTCTTCTGTCTGGTGTGGCCATGGTGCCCTGGGCTTAGGAACTCTGGCAAAGTCCACCCGGTCAATGGGGGATGCTGGGAGGGTGCTCAGGTGAGCAGCTCCCTGCCCCTGCCAAGTGTGTATTGAGTTGGTGTCAGTGACAAACTTTACTGCTCGGAAAGCACCTCCTGGAGAGGCCGTGTACACCTGCTGGGTCTGGCCCCTCCTTCTACCAAATAAAACAGCCCTGCAGCCAGCCTGGCACCCATGCTGCCCTCAGGCTCAGTTCATGCTGAACGACTGACTTCCTGGGCCTTCGGCATCAGCCTTCCTTTTCCTTACTGCACATCTGCCGCGTGCTCGGCTCCGCACTGGAGTTTTGGGTTGATCCGCCTTTGGGTCTTTGGGTGCAAGTTACAAGAGTAGTCACTCGCTCTTTGCAGTCTGCAGAAGCTGCCTCGTGGATTGTGAATGAATGGTGTTGTAAAGGAGAAAGTGCCACAGTCACATTTGGGAAAAGCTCATTTGAGTTTTATTTAGGCAGTTGTATTCCTTCTTGTGTTGTTGAGGTATCTCCCACGTGTGGGGTTGTAGAGCTCCAGAGTTACTATTTTGTTGTTGCGCTTTTCCTAATTTCCTAACTTACCACCAAAAATGCTGTGTCCAGAATACCATCTGAATTGTTCTGTTTTCGTATCCAGGTCACGTCAGAGGCAAAGGCTGGAGGGGCCAGCCTTGCAGCCCCCTGAATGCCCAGGACACAGCTCAGGAAAGGTGTAACAAATCGTGAAGGCTAGGTGCTCATATCGCATCTCTGCTGCGCATGTCTCTAGATATGGATCAGAAACTGTCCAAGTTGGTAGAAGAGCTCACAACTTCGGGGGAACCCCAGCTGAATCCTGAGAAAATGAAGGAACTGAAGAAAATTTGCAAGTATGTCTTAAGGTTCAGCATTTCACACCAGTTGGCTGGCTCAGCAGGTCCCCCACACCGTTGGGGTCATGCCTTCCACCACCTGCATCTGTCTCAGCCCTTCGCCTGCCTGTCCCCACTGTCGCCTCTCTGCGCAGGGAAGGAAAGGTCCAGGATGTTTCCCCAGGACCCTGCAGGGCCCAGCTCTGGCAGGTGGTCACCTTGTGGGGCAGTGGTCCTTGGGGGGGGCGGGTGTGCGTGGCATGAACACTTTCTAAAGGCCGTGTCAGCGGGACCTGTTGAGCGTAAGTCGAGATTGTCCTTATCCCGTATCTACAAAACAGGAAAACTTAAGTGACTTTAAGTAACAAAGTCTTTAGCTTTCGACAAAAATTTCAGCTCAGATGTAGACCCAGAACACCCCAGAACAGTAGCAGCTTCTTTTGCAGGGAAGGTAGCTGGGAAGGGCAACAGGAGGGGCAGGGTGTGTGCAGGCTCCTCGGAGGGCAGGTCCTTTCGCTTTTGCTTCGGTCCTGTGTCTGCAGGGGAGGCTGGGGGCTGGGTTCTCCGCTTGGAATGGAATCTGCTCTGATGTTCTCTGATGGGCCAGATGGTGGCTCCTCGAGGCTTTCTGGGCCATAAAGTTTTTGCGGTGACGGCTCAGCTGTGGACAGTGGTGAGAACAATGTGAAGGAGCGGCCAGCTTGTGTCCCAATAAAACTTGATGGGCACTGATGCTGGCTGTCATGATTCTCACACGTCATGAAGTATTATTTTGGTTCGTTTCAGCCATTAAAAAATGTAAAAACCATTCTTGCTTGTGGGTCGTACAGAAACAGGCGGGGACCCGAGGGCAGTTGTTGGTCCAGCCTTCTCTGGACAAAGGGGAGAGGGCCTGCTGAGTATTGGGCACTCAGCGAGGACAACTGGTGTCCCTAGGTCTTCAGAGGAGCAGCTCAGCCGTGCCTACCACCTGCTCACGGCCCAGCTGAGCCAGGACCACGCCGAGATCCGCCTCTCCGCATTCCAGGCCATAGATGAGCTCTTCGCCCGGTCCCATCAGTTCAGGATGCTGGTTGTTTCCAACTTTCAGGAGTTTCTGGAGCTCACACTGGGCACTGACCACGAGCAGCCCCTGCCACCTCCCAGGGAGGTGGCCCAGAGGCTGCGTCAGGCTGCCACCCGGGCCATCCAAGGGTGGAATGAGAAGTACGGTGCGGCCTACAAGAAGCTCGCCTTGGGCTACCACTTCTTAAGACACAGCAAACAGGTGGGCAGGCCGCACTCTGTGCTGCGTTGGTGGACAGACTTGTCTGGCCTCAGCGGCCAGCCAGTGTTCAGGGGCAGTGGGGGGGGCTCCCAGGAGCAGGGCAGCAGTTCTGGGAGGAGGATGTGTGGAGGGAGCTGGGCCTCGGGTCCTGACTTCCACAGAAAGCCGAAATGAGGGAAAGGGGGTCGGCTTCTCAGACGCGGCCCTGTTCTGTGTGCAGGAGTTGAGTCCCTCCTGGGTCTGCTGTGGGCTCTGGTGGCCTTGGGTGCATGAGAGCCACCAGGACTGGCTGCTGCTGCCCCTGCCCTCCTGTCCAGGTGGCTGGCCGGTCCCCGCCACAGCCTGAGCATGCTGCCTGGCACTACACATCCGGGGTCCCCTCCCGGGGTGTTTCCAGGCCCCTGGGTGGGGCGAGCAGCCTCCCCCCATACTCCTCGCAGCAGCATGCTGCTTTCTGGAAGATGTGCTGGCCGTGCCTCTGCGGGGGATCGATCGTTGCTGTCAGATGTGTTTCTTGGTGTTCGGAAGAACTGGACCCCAGGGACCCAGAGGGTCTGGCTCTGTCCTGGTGCTGGCACGTCTTCTCCTAGGCCTGTGTTTGACCTATTTTCTTTGTGTTCTGTGCAGTCCGGTCTCACGTCCACTTCAATTTCCCAGGTGGATTTTCAGGACGTGAGCGCGCGGACTCTGGCAGAAAGAAAGCGGGAGGAGGAGAAGCGGAAGCGCTTGGATAGAATCTACAGGGAGAGGTCTGAGCAGGCCATCAGGGAGATGGAGGGTGAGTGAGTTCTCAGGCCTGAGGGCGCCCTGCCTGCCGCGCCTCCCAGGGCCTTGTGCAGCCCGCCCACCCTGCCGCTGCAGTGGGGGGTGGGGGGCAGACCCCAGCCCTGTCCCCAGGAACATCTGGGTGGCCACCGCTCTCCCGCGCCCCCTGGCGGAGCCGCGTGGGCACTGTGCTTTGGTGAAGGTCTGGGCTGGGGGAAGCAGGGAGTTGTGCCTGTTCATCTCATGGCCCCTGTTTGCTCTTGCCGGCGCCCAAAACCTGACGCTTCTGAGCAGCTGGCCCTTTCCGTGAGGGGCAGGCCCCAGCTGAAGGCACTTCTGGGGTGCCTGGCCCCAGAAGTGGCTGGGAGCAGTCCTCTGTCCCCTGAGGAGGGTGTTGGCCGGCCCCAGAGAGATCCCTGTCAGGAAGTAGCCGGCCGGAGCGGAACGGTCGAGCTGCGCTCCGAATGGAGGACTGGGGAGTGGCGTGTGTCCTGATGGCCTCTGTCCTCCGAAGCTCTGTTCGTGGTGGCACAGCCCCCTTGGTGTTCCCGGGGCACCAGTGAACCTCGCAGCAGAAGTCCAGACCTGAGGCTGTTTCCAGGGACATCGCAGAGGGTGGCCTTGTGCTGCTGAGCTGGTGGCTTCTCAGTGATCACCAAGCCTCCACACGCCCGGGGCGCCGGCCTCGGTCCGGGGAGGAGGGAGGAGGCGCAGGTTCGGGCGGCCTGCAGTCCCGCGTAACACAGCCCGCCGGCCGCTGGGGCCCCCCTGCTGCTGGGACGTGGCCCTCCTTGTGATCTCGGGCCCGGCCCTGGGGGAGTGGTGCCGTTCGCGGGCGGGCCCCGACGGGCGGTGCCTGTGTCTGCAGACATGTCCGAGGAGATTCGGTGCTGCCTCACGGAGGTGGAGAGCTGCTTCAGGCTGCTGCTGCCCCTGGACCTCACCGCAGGCCTGGGCGCCTCGTTGCCCACGGTGGCCTTCAGTGTGTCTGAGCAGAGCGCCCCTTGCCAGGCCGGCGCTGCCAGTCACGGGGGCGAGGAGCAGCCCTGCTGTAGCAAGACCCTGCCCGCCTGGGCCGGCCATCCGGGAGCTGGCAGTGGGGAGGGGCCGCCGCAGACGGCCACAGGGGCCGAGGAGGAGGACAGCGACAGCGACGAGGAAGGGTTTGTGCGGCGCCATGGACTGGGCTCCCACAAGTACACGCTAGACGTGGAGCTCTCCTCAGGTAACCGCCGGCTCCTGCTGACTGGCCAGGGCGCTCTTCCCTCAGCCATGGGCCCTGGGGATGCTGGCGAGAGCCCAGGCTTCTTGGGACCGTGAGCAGGGCAGGGTCCCCAAGGTTGGGGTGAGGGGTGACTTGAGGCTTGGGGTCTGCGGCTCCACCCCAAGGTCCTCCTTGTGATGGGCAGGCCTAATTCTCCAAGGGATTGGGGAGGCTGCAGTGCCTGGTCACAGGCCCATCGGGATCAGAGGGTGACTGTCAGGGATCAGGCACCCCCCACTCTGGCTTGGAGGACAACGTGGTTGGATAGCAGCTTCTCACCATGTTTGAGATGATGCAGGTGTGGTTGGGAGCCCTTTAGGGGTGTTCACAGAGGAAGGGCAGTCAGGCTGCCTAGCTGTGTGAAGATCTGCCACCCCCAGGCATCTTGGGTCCCACCAGCCCCAGGGAACTAACAGCTGTCTGGCTGGGCGGGGGGGCGCAGCAGGCCACGTGCAGGAGGTGGGGGTGCCCGGCTGAAGACAGGCTGGGGTGGTGGGATGCGGGGGCAGGGCTGTGGGACTGAGCAGTGGTGTGGGCAGTAATGGGAAAGGGGCTCCAGGGCTCCCGGGGCTCGATGGATGGGCTGGGGTTTGTCCGTGAGAATGCCGCGTGGGGTCTCTCGGTCTGGTGTGGAGGGAGGCATTGGGCTCAGGCTGAAACGGTCCGCGCCAAAATCAGAATCTTAAAGTAGTACATCTGTTTGTCAGGCACGAGGTATGGGGTCCTGGGCAGAACGTGGCTGGGGAAGGATGGGCAGCGGAGGGTGGTCCCTCCGTGGTGCTGGGTGACCTGCCCTGGTGCTTCCAGTGACCCTGTGTGCTTTGTTACAGACAGCCTGAGGGTGCGTGAGGACGAGGACAATCACGCTGTCATCCACTCCGCCCGGGACGCGCTCAAGCTTATCCAAAACACCTTTCTGCCAGCTGTGTGCTCCTGGGTCCAGGTGAGGTTTCCGTGTGCCGGGGCAGAGTCGGGGCCACGGGGTGTGCGGGGGGGGGGGGACACTGGAGGGGTGAGGAGGGCTGTGTGCCCCTGGGTCCAGGGAGGTCCCCATGTGCCAGGGCAGATTCAGGGCCACGGGGTGCGCAGGGGGGGACGCTGGGGGGCTGGGGAGAGCTATGTGCTTCTGGGTCCAGGTGAGGTCCCCACGTGCTGGGGTGCCGGGGCAGAGTCGGGGCCACGGGGTGTGCGGGGGTGGGGGGACACTGGAGGGGTGAGGAGGGCTGTGTGCCCCTGGGTCCAGGGAGGTCCCCATGTGCCAGGGCAGATTCAGGGCCACGGGGTGCGCAGGTGGGGACGCTGGGGGGCTGGGGAGAGCTATGTGCTTCTGGGTCCAGGTGAGGTCCCCACGTGCCGGGGTGCCGGGGCAGAGTCGGGGCCACGGGGTGTGCGGGGGGTGGGGGGACACTGGAGGGGTGAGGAGGGCTGTGTGACCCTGGGTCCAGGGAGGTCCCCATGTGCCAGGGCAGATTCAGGGCCACGGGGTGCGCAGGGGGGGGACGCTGGGGGGCTGGGGAGAGCTATGTGCTTCTGGGTCCAGGTGAGGTCCCCACGTGCCGGGGTGCCGGGGCAGAGTCGGGGCCACGGGGTGTGCGGGGGTGGGGGGACACTGGAGGGGTGAGGAGGGCTGTGTGCCCCTGGGTCCAGGGAGGTCCCCATGTGCCAGGGCAGATTCAGGGCCACGGGGTGCGCAGGTGGGGACGCTGGGGGGCTGGGGAGAGCTATGTGCTTCTGGGTCCAGGTGAGGTCCCCACGTGCCGGGGTGCCGGGGCAGAGTCGGGGCCACGGGGTGTGCGGGGGTGGGGGGACACTGGAGGGGTGAGGAGGGCTGTGTGCCCCTGGGTCCAGGGAGGTCCCCATGTGCCAGGGCAGATTCAGGGCCACGGGGTGCGCAGGGGGGGTACGCTGGGGGGCTGGGGAGAGCTATGTGCTTCTGGGTCCAGGTGAGGTCCCCACGTGCCGGGGTGCCGGGGCAGAGTCGGGGCCACGGGGTGTGCGGGGGTGGGGGGACACTGGAGGGGTGAGGAGGGCTGTGTGCCCCTGGGTCCAGGGAGGTCCCCATGTGCCAGGGCAGATTCAGGGCCACGGGGTGCGCAGGGGGGGACGCTGGGGGGCTGGGGAGAGCTATGTGCTTCTGGGTCCAGGTGAGGTCCCCACGTGCCGGGGTGCCGGGGCAGAGTCGGGGCCAACGGGGTGTGCGGGGGTGGGGGGACACTGGAGGGGTGAGGAGGGCTGTGTGCCCCTGGGTCCAGGGAGGTCCCCATGTGCCAGGGCAGATTCAGGGCCACGGGGTGCGCAGGGGGGGACACTGGGGGTCTGGGGAGGGCTGTGTGCCCCTGGGTCCAGGGAGGTCCCCATGTGCCGGGGCAGATTCGGGGCCACGGGGTGCGCAGGGGGGGAACGCTGGGGGGCTGGGGAGAGCTATGTGCTTCTGGGTCCAGGTGAGGTCCCCACGTGCCGGGGTGCCGGGGCAGAGTCGGGGCCACGGGGTGTGCGGGGGTGGGGGGACACTGGAGGGGTGAGGAGGGCTGTGTGCCCCTGGGTCCAGGGAGGTCCCCATGTGCCAGGGCAGATTCAGGGCCACGGGGTGCGCAGGGGGGGACGCTGGGGGGCTGGGGAGAGCTATGTGCTTCTGGGTCCAGGTGAGGTCCCCACGTGCCGGGGTGCCGGGGCAGAGTCGGGGCCACGGGGTGTGCGGGGGTGGGGGGACACTGGAGGGGTGAGGAGGGCTGTGTGCCCCTGGGTCCAGGGAGGTCCCCATGTGCCAGGGCAGATTCAGGGCCACGGGGTGCGCAGGGGGGGACACTGGGGTCTGGGGAGGGCTGTGTGCCCCTGGGTCCAGGGAGGTCCCCATGTGCCGGGGCAGATTCGGGGCCACGGGGTGTGCAGGGGGGGACGCTGGGGGGCTGGGGAGAGCTATGTGCTTCTGGGTCCAGGTGAGGTCCCCACGTGCTGGGGTGCCGGGGCAGAGTCGGGGCCACGGGGTGTGCGGGGGTGGGGGGACACTGGAGGGGTGAGGAGGGCTGTGTGCCCCTGGGTCCAGGGAGGTCCCCATGTGCCGGGGCAGATTCGGGGCCACGGGGTGTGCAGGGGGGGACGCTGGGGGGCTGGGGAGAGCTATGTGCTTCTGGGTCCAGGTGAGGTCCCCACGTGCCGGGGTGCCGGGGCAGAGTCGGGGCCACGGGGTGTGCGGGGGGGTGGGGAGGGGCCCCAGCCGGACTGAATGATGCACCCCCTTGTTGGCAGCTATTCACCCGCGCAGGGATCCACGGTGGGCACCTGGAAGCTGCCATCGACCTGAAGACGGAACTGGAAAGGGCACTGAGGCAATCGGAAGAGCTGGACATCAAGCCTGAGGAGGGGCGCTGGAGGGAGGTGAGTGCTGCCAGCAGGCTGGGGAGGGGTGACAGCAAGGACACCTCCTCTTTGAGCTGTTTTCTGAGTCAGCAAGAATAACTGGGGCTTGGAAGTATTCTGGTTTCTGCCCCGCCGGGAGCTCCTTTCCTGAAACGGAAGCTTTGGCCTGGGGGGCCAGAGAGCACAGCGCAGGCCTCCCCATGGATGAGGGCGGGGACAGGGTCCAGGGCAGGAGGGCACGGGAGAGCTGTGGGAGGAGGCAGAAGGTTCTAGTTGGGAGGGAGATCTCAGGGCCCTGGAGGAGGAGGCCATGGGCTGAGCTGAGACCCAGGCCGGCTCCTCCACACTGTCTCACCCTGAGCCTCCCGAGTGCCCAGCAGAGCCTCCCGTGAGCTGGTCAGGGCCTTCCGGGCTTCAGCGTCTCGTCCCGTCCACCTGCATCGTGGCCAAGGACGCTCGGTGTTGGGGTGTCTGCGGTAGACACAGAATCAGGACTTGTCCTCGGGCTTACGCAGAGGGCCGTGTCCCTGGCCTGGGGAGGTGGGCGCCATGGTCCCAAGCAGGGCCCTACGGAGGAGCTTCCAGCCGGCGAGGTGGGGTGAACATGCAGCCTGGTGCCCCAGTTGGGAGGCTGGTCAAGGCCAGGCATCTGCTGGTCGTGTGGTACCTCACAGGCACAGATTTGGGAGGGGGAGGCTAGTCCCCTTGCGTGCGGTGTCCCCGGGCACGGTTGTGGAGCAGGGACAGGCCCACACTTACTGACGGGGCATGGGTGAGGTCCATCAGCTCCTGGGACACTAGGTGACTTCGGGGGCCCCCTCCCGTGGCCTGTACCAGGACCTAGACCTTAGCGTCCGAGATGGACGTGAGAGCCGCGTCCCTCTGCAGGTGTCCTCGGGGCCTGCCCGCAGGGCAGGGCGCTCAGCTGCAGCGGGGTCAGCACAGCTGCCGCCCTCTCGGAAGCAGGGAAGCGGGCTCCGGAGTGCACCGCTCTGCCAGGGTGCTGGGACCCCGCACCTGGCCCATGAGCGGCGTGTCTGCACCTCTGCTCTGGTTGGATGTGACTGCAGCAGGAGCTCCGGGGCGGGAGGAAGGAGGAGAGCAGGTTCGGAGCCATTCAGACCTAGGACGGACGGTGGCTGGCACCATGGGTCTTGGCACCCAGCGACCTGACCCTTCCAGAGCCACCGGACACCTGTCGCAGGGCCACTGCCCTGGTGTGCGTTTCTGAGGGATGGCCCCACCGCGGTCTTCCAGGTGCAGGGTGTGGGGCCCCTGGGGACCGGCAGAGGGCGGTCTTGTCTTTCTCCCGCAAAGCTGTGGAGTCTGAAGAAAGTTCTGGGCTGGGAGCAGGGCCTGCAGGCTGCCTGGCGTTTGCCGGCGGATGTCCTAGCGGGGTTTCTGTGGGCGCGAGTTTCTTTGTAGAGCCTTGCTTGGGGGTTGTGAGCTCACCAAGAAAGCTGCGTGAATTTTGACCAAGGTGCTTTTTTTTTTTTTATACCGAAGGAAAGTTGTTCTTTGGTCTCAGGAAGGAGGTGATCCAGTCGGCTCGTCTGGCACGTTGGGAGGGATTTATCTCTGAACGTTGGACGAGCCAGGGTCTCGGCATCAGGGCAGTGGCTGGCCTGAGAGCAGGGAGGGTTGTGGGGATTCATGGCGCCCTGAGGACCGGCCCCCCCTGCCTAGCAGGGGCTCACACTGTGTCTGAAGGAACTGGGGGAGGCACCCTCAGGGCAGCTGGGGCTTTGGGGAGAGCCCCGGAAGCCATGAGGGCTGGTTGGGCAGCGTGACCTTGTCCCTCCAGGCCTGGGGTCCGCAGCACTGCTGGGGTGGGCAGGACTTGGAGCCCAGAGCTGGCAGCAGAACCTTCTCGCCTCAGGGCTCTAGGGCCCCCAGGGGAAGGGCAGGTCTCCTAACGGCCTAGACTGGCGCCTCCCAGTACAGGAGATGCAAGCTGCTCTGCGGGGCCGGCTCCAGCCCCAGCCCCACACAGAGCCTGGCCTGTGCCTGGACTGTTTGGGAGCCCTCGGCACTGTCCCCAGGCATCCGAGGGAGCGTCTGGTGGGGGCAGCTCCATGCTGCTCGGGGCAGGCCGGTCAAGGAGCCTCAGGGGAGCGCTGGCGAGGGTGGGAGTCCAGCCTGGAGGATGGCTGTGGGTGAAGGGGCCCTGCCCCTCCGGCATGGGGACAGCAGGGCTGGCCGGGACTCAGACTCGCGGGTCACTGAGGCCCTGTAGGCTGCAGCTGCCTGTGGGAAGGTGGCGTGGCTTCAGTGGGAAGGGCGCATCACTGTCTCTGTCAGCCGAACGGACGGTTTCCAGACACTTCTCCACCAACTGATTTAAAAAAGGCACTGCTCCGAAGTCCTGGGAGATTGTGCTCACCCGCGCTGGCGGGCGGCGGCACCTGGACATGAAGCGATTGGGGCTCGAGTGGCTGAGTGGCAGCGCCCCATTCAGGTGGGCGCCGCGTATCTGCACATCTGCTCGACCCTGCGCAGGGTGGGCGGCCGCGGGAGCCACTGCAGTAATTAGGAATTACCAACGAGTTGCTCCCCACTCATTTTGAAATAAAACGGACGGGGCTTTAAATCATTTGCCTTAGCGTTTCCCAACCTGGCGGGCTCGGCGTGGTAACCGCGTGCACAGCTGGCCGAGCCGGGGACGCTGATTCGGGAACGTGGGATTTGAGGATTTTAGAACCTCTGACAAATGTGTCAGAGATGAGCACAAACACGGGGCTCCTGTCTGGCAGCTTGGATGCTGAGGAGAAGTCGGGAGCCCAGCTGGGAACAAGCCCTTCGGGGTGGGGGTGTTGGAAGGTGTCCCGTTTCTGGTTTTGTGTTGCTGCTGGTTTCTATGTATTGTTTTTCTTTTGACATAGAGGTTCCATCTTTGAGAAATATTTAAGTCCGTTAAAATATGTTTAACTGTTTGTTTTATAGAGTGTGTCTCTGTTCTGTTTGGAAGCAGCTGGGGATAAATCTCAAATAGATCGATGTGGAGCATCATTTGGTAGATTTAGTTTCCAGCCCTCTGCTGTGGGAGAGGTGTAATAATCTGTGCCTGCTACATTCGTGAAACTGATAAAAATTCTGTATAAACTTTTAAATCGCCTGTGGTTTAATTATGTGGCCACGATCACCAATTATTGTGTATTGTGTAATTAACAAAATACTAATTTCCTACCAACTACTATGTCTGAAAAAAATAACTTCAGGCATCAGTTTATATAAACCATCAGCAGGATTTTTTTTTAATGGCTGGGTTGTATAAGCGGGTAGAATACTCACATGGGTGTTTCCGTCCTCGCCGAACGCCAGTCTGACGCGGCCACGGGGTCTGGACCGCGGGCACATCCTCACGCGTTCCCAAAGCAGACATCGCCCTGCGTGGCTCTGGGAGGCTTTCCTTCCGTGCAGCCTCCCCAGCTGACGGGACGGGCCTTCTGCCGGGGAGGCACCTCCCGCCTCAGGCAGGGGCCCTGGACGCTCCTGCTGCCGTTGTGTCCACAAGCCTCCTGTGCCGTGGGAGCCACGTGAGTGCCGGCTTCCTGTAGGTGAAAAGGACAGAGCAGGAAGCCGCGGAATGAAATGTTGAACGAGCCAGGCAGCCCAGGGAGGCAGGGGAACTAAATCAGCCAGCAGCCGGGACCTTGTGCGCGGCAGGGCCAGTAAACAACCTTCCCGGAGACGCGGCTCCCTCCATCACGCTGAAGGCCACGAGGCTGCAGGGCTGGGAGCCGGGGGAGGGGTCCGCACGCCTTCCGCCCTCCTCACCAGGGCTGGCAGCACACGCAGGCGCCCCACTGCTCAGGGCCGGCCCTCGCCCCTGCGCCCCGGGGCCCCGGAGCGCAGCCCTCCCCCTGCACTGCTGCGCACCCCTTGCTCCTGAATACCTTCACCGTCATCCCTTTGGTTCCACAAGCGGCCCTGTGAGGTGGGTCACGTCACTACCCCAGTACACAGGTGGTGAGACCGAGCCTGGGGGGAGGTTGTGTGGGCCTTGGCCTCGGAGGGCGCCGGCTGCCTGCATTTTGCCTGTGAAGGTTGGGCTGAGGGAGGAGAGCGTGCACAGCGGGTTTTCCTGTTCTTGTGTGGATGCCGCTTCCTCGGGTGGTGAGAACTGGGGAAGCACTGTGCGCTCTGTGGGATGTGCTGTCCCACGGCTCAGCCGCTCACATGGGCTCCCCAGGGTGGCCACCGCGGAGGAGAGGGTGCCCGTCTGCGCCGTGGCAGACTCGAGTTACCCGCCGTGGTTCCGGGGTCACCACCTGTGTCGGGGACGGACGCACCCAGGCGCAGCAGGGCTCTTGGCCCCAGCCTCGGCCTGGAAATGGTCCAGGTGTCCCGTTGACCCACAGCCTGGTTGCCTGCACCGCCTCAGGCAGTTTCCAAGGCGAGGCCTGTCGAGCACCTCATCCTGCGCGGATCTGGATCAGACAGGAAAGGGGGCCGCAGTCACTCCAGAGCACGGTGACGCCCGTCTGCACCAGCTCCGTTCCCGCTGAGCAGGGGACCACGTGCTCTGCGGCCTTGTCTGTCCGAGCGGGCTTGGCGTGCCCCGGGTGGTGTCGGTGGGGGGTCCCTGTTCCCTCGTGCTTGCCCTGGTCAGCCCCGCGCGCCCCACCGTCCTCTGCCCTCTGAAGGCGCGTCCCCAGCAGCTGGAGATGCACATGAGGTATTGGCGTAGCTGGGCAATTTGCACGGCCTTCCAGGGAGGGCATTAGCATATAAATAGCAGATGCAATGACGACCATCACAGCTGAGCACGTTTAATTTTTAGTTTATAAGATAGAATGGGGTTTTAAATGCATGGCCATCAAGCCGCTGAAAGACAAATGCAGTTCGGAGCTCACTTGTCTGACGAGGCCTTACATCATTTTTTTTTTAAAAAGGGAAACAGACACACATAAAACTGAACAAAAGTGATTTCTTGGGTGAAAAGTAATTGAGATTGCGCACCGAGTTAATTAGATCGTACAAAATTTATTTAACGGTCCCAGCTGCATCTGGGCGTGCGTTTGGCGGGCCGACCCGCTCCCAGAGCCAGGTCACTCTTCCTTTTCTTCCTCAAATAATCAGTAACCCCGATACCCCCACTGCTGTACGCTGATTGTGTTGTATATTTTAGCCGTTTTATTGCTTGTTTAATTATGATCCCAGAGGCTCATTTTTCTAAATCCTTTTAACTGTGGGTGCGACTCCATGTGTATGAAACCGGCGGAAGGCCCGCGGCCCCTCTCTGCCTCCCAGCGGCAGCGGCTGTGGGCGGCTCCCGAAGGGCCACCGCTGTGGGAGGCGTCTGGCAGGCCACAGGGCTCTGAGCGCCTGCCCGGGCCTCCCGGGCTGCCTGCCCAGGGACTCCACCTGTTGGAGGAGGTGGGTGCACACCCCAGACGCGGCGGGGGCGGGGTGGGGGGCTGCAGAATGAGAACAGTTCATGAGTTGACCCCATTTTGAGGACCACCCACCTTCAACCGGTTGCCGCCTCAGGGGCGTGAGCTTCCTTCCTTCCCAGGATCCTCAGGCATCCACGCACCCGCGCCCGGCCCCCTGCCAGCCTGTGAGCTTTGACCTTGAGGGCAGGTGGCCACCTCCCTGCCCCACTCCGGGACTGGCTCCGGCCGGGCTCCTTCCTGCCGCCGTGCCGTTTTGCCGGGGTTTTAGAGAGGGCCTCCTGGCCTGGCTGGTGGCGGTGTTCCTGTTCTCTGAGCCGGCGTTTGGCGTGAGGCCCTGGAGCAGGTCACATGGGTGTCACAGCAGTGTGACTGTGCTTGGTCATGGGGCTTTGTCCTCTGGACAGTGGGTGTCACTGCCCTCCCCCAGGTGCTGGGGGTTCAGAGAGCCGACACCGCCCTGGGAACTCCATGTTGAACTTGGAGGCTTTGGAGCGCGGATTCGGTGTTAGCAGCAAAGTCCGTCTCTGGCCCGGTGTCGCTGCGGTTCCAGGGGGCCACCCGCGGCTAGAGGGCTCACGGCTCACGCACACAAGTAGATTGCTGCAGAGGCCAGTGCCCCGGCCGCGGGGACCCTGAGGGGGCAGTTCTTGCCCCAATGGGTCCTCCTGGAGGTGGGTGCGGCCTGGCCCGCCTCGAGCGGTGTTAATTTAAGAACGAAGAGCAGCCCAGGGCTCTGTATTTCATCACAGGAATAAACAGTTTGAGTTGGGGAGAAAGAGGGTATAATTCCTAATAGTTAGCTAAGCAGCGAAATATTTTTTAGGAAATGAAAATTTAGTAAGTCCCTGGTGAAATTGAGGGGTGGGAGCGGTAAGCGTAATATTTTATGAAAATGACCCCCATATTTAAAATCCGGTGCTCTCTGTTCTGCATTGTAGCACCCAGTCCACATCTACCTTTTAGAAAATTAAAACACATAAATTCTGTTTAGTGTTTGATACGCACTAGCCGAGAACCGTAATGCCCTAAAACCTTGGGCTGCTTTCCACCTTTCATAAATTCCTGGGTAGATTCTATACAAAAATAATTTTCAGGTCCGTGGCTCATTGTTATTCAAACGTGATTGATCGCCGTCATTTGCCCAGCTCGGGAGTTAAGTGCCCCTGTCATTTCCAAAGAGTATAATTGGGACGTTTCACAGGTCAGTGGTGGAGACAGGCTTCCCTTTTGATCAGTGTTAGACTGATAACAAAAAATTACAGTTTTCGATGATTAATGTCTCCCGCGCTTCCCAGATGCACCGCAGTGGGGTGTACCCAAACAAAGTGCATTTGCATCTGATTGTGCCTCTTGGGGGCCAGCGGTGGCTCCCCCGCGGGCATCCCTGGGCCGCAGGTAACGCCAGATGTGGTTGCTGATGCCCCGGCTCACGGTGGCCGCCACCAGGCCCAGCTCTGCAGCGACGGGCAGCTGCGGGGGGCTGCCGGCATCTGTAACTCAGCTGAGCCTGGGGGGCCTCCTGCCCCCATTGTCACCCAGGCTCTCCATCCTCCGCCTCGACGGTGGCCCTGAGGTGTGCTGTGGAGAAAGATTTCGGAAGTGAAGGCATGTGTCACAAGGTTCTCCAGAGTTTGCCCCAGTAGTTGGCATTTATCTGACAGGGGCCTCCGTCCTGGCTGTTCCCTTCAGTGGGATTGAGACTGTGGTAAAGGTCTGCGCCCTGGTCTGGCTGAGCTGGCTCCCCAGTACTCCAGGGCCGGTTGGCAGTGGGGCGGGCGCTCCTGGTTCCTCCCTGCTGTGACCCTCTTGGGAAGGACCCATCCCGTGGGGGCTGCTCTCCTCAAGTCCAGTCCTAGGGCTGTTGGGGGTCCCTGAGAATGTGGGGCCAGCTGCAGAAGCCCGACTCCTGTTCCATGGTGGACCTCCGTGGAGAGGCCGGGTGCTGCCCAGCCAGCGGGTGGGGGCAGAGGGTCCGGGTCTCGTAGAAAGGAAGCCGGCCCCATGCAGTTCTTCAGGCCCTCTGGGCAGGCTATGGTGGAGGTAGCCCCCCAGCCCCTCTGGTGGCTCTGGGGCCCTCACTACACTGACCTGGGTGGGGAAAGAGGTCTCATCCAAAGGAAACTGTTTTTTCAGTGGCTTTTTAACAAGTCATTCTTAAGGACAGAATGTTCCAGAAGTGCCGTAGTCACACCAGCATCCCCAGAGCTGCCCCCGAGAAGGGTGGGCGGTGCTTTGGCCTGGAGGGAGGGGCGGCCCTGCCTCTCACTGGGTGAAGTTGGTCTCCTGAGGCTCTGGAAACACACCTACTCCTGCGCCTCTCCCATGCATTTCAAAGGGCACCAGGTGGTGGGGCAGGTTTGTATGTGGTTTGGACGTGGAGCTGCGGATCTGGCGTGAGCTCAGGAGCAGGACCAGGCCCAGAGATGATCTTCCGTCTCCAGTGCTGCGGCAGGACCGGGAACCTCCGGGCCTCTGTGCTGTGCTCATACGTAGGTCTGGGGGTGTTTCCACAGGTGGCAGCCCCAGGGGACAGGGATGAGGATGAGGACGAGGATGATGGGGACTTTGTCGAGGTCCCAGAGAAGGAGGGGTATGAGGCCTGCATCCCCGACCACCTGCGGCCGGAGTATGGTGAGTGCGGGGGGCTGGGAGGGGCTGGGTGGGGTCCTGCTAAAGATGCTGTCCCTCAGGGCATGACCTCACATCTGGGGTCTGGGGCCCACTGAGCAGGGGAGCCAGCCATGGTGGGCGCCCTGCCTGCTGACACTGCAGATCTGTCACTGAAAATCTTGCAACTCTCCTGTTCCCCAGGTACTCTCGGGTCGGGCTCCTCCCCAAGGCCTCCCCCCAGTGGGCTCCCGCTGTCCCTGGTGCACAGGCCCCAGCACCCAATCAGTGGGCACAGCCAGGCTGGCGCCACACGAGGGGCAGCCCTGCTGGGGACACACAAGTCTCAGCACTGGGGAGCGAGTCTAGGAGTGGGGCGGGCACCCCAGAGCAGAGAGCGTGCCCCGGGGACAGTGCTGTGGGTGACTCCTGAGGTGGCAGGAGACTGGTGACCGTTCGCTGGGCTCCTTAGTCCCCGGGCCCCATGGCTGGGGCATCCCCACTTGCCATCTGTGGAGTCATGGACTCCGCTGCTGGCCCAGGACACCTCCGTGGCTCGTGGCGGAGGAGGGCCGTTCCTGGGAAGTGCAGCCCCAGCTCTGACTGGTCTTTGCTGTCTGGGGTTTCCTTCTTTCCCGTGTCTGCACCCCAGCACGGTGGCCATCTAGCAAGAAGGGGTGTGGGCCCGCAGGATCTACCCAGCACACACATAGGCGGCAAATAAAAACAAGACCCGTGGCTTTTGTGGAAAAACAGACCAATCGATTTCTCTCTGAGTCTGTAAGGCGAAATGTGAGTTTGTTAACCAGAGTGTAGATGACTGAGCTCAGGTGTGGCGCTGTGGCCCAGTAGGGGCATCGTGCCGAAGTGGCACTTCCAGACCTGACGGCTGCCGTTTGCGCAGCCCCGGTTCCTCTCCCCGGGCACCAGCCTGGATGTGGGAGCAGCGGCGACCCACCCCTGCTCCCAGCCGGCCAGGGCCTGTGTGCCTGCCTCGCCCCCTGCTCCAGCCATGCGGGCCTTCACTTCTTAGCTTTTGGGTCTTCCTCTGACCGATAGGCAACCCTCCTGCCCTTTGTTCTTCTGTGTTCTTCTGCACCTGAAATGGCCTGCCATCCCCGGTTCATGCTGCTGTCCGCCCCAGAGCAGGGGCTCCCTGTGGCCAGAGGCCCCACCTGCACCCACGAAGTACCTGGGGGCTGCCTAAGGCATCTGTCGGGAGCAGTGACCGCCCTCCCGTGCCCAGGCCGGAGCCCAGCAGAAGCCCGGACACTCCCGCGGCTGCCCGTGCCCCAGGCTGGGACAGTGGGCAGTGGGGCAGGACTGCCAGGGAACAGCCCGCTCAGTGTTGTCACTTCTCCAAGTTTCTGCAGCAGAGGAGTCTGGTGACGGGCAGCCCGTGACTGAGAGCCTCCTGCGGCCGGCAGCGCGCCCAGCAGAGGTCCGGCTTTGAGGCGCTGGGCCCTGCCTCTGGGGCCTGGGAGCCCCACGCTGACCCTAGCTAGTCCTCTCTCCGAGGCTTTCTAGCTGCGGACACTTGCCCTGGCCCTCAGCACGTGCTGCTTGGAGGGCATTGAGCCCTTTCCGCAGGAGGGAGAGCTTGTCTCTGGCCTGGGGCCGGGCTTGGTCGCCAGTTCTGATGACCGCGGTGAGCACAGCTGCGGTCCGCTAGTGCTTCGTCTGCGCCTCGTCCACTCTGCCACGCAGGCCGTGGCCCTCAGCAGGGACGGTGGGGCTGCCACCACTCCCACTGGCAAGGTGCTAGGCAGGAGTGGCAGAGGGGACTGGGCGACAGGCTGTGTGGGCCCGCCGTGCTCACAGGACGCGCGCGTGGACTCAGCCCGGCCGTGGCGCCACAGTGGGTGACCCTGCCTCCAGGTGTTGCCAGCTGGGGCCCAGCCCCGCCGGAGCAGAGCGGCTTCCCCACGGAGACACTCCTGATGCCGACATCTGCAAGCCTGGCAGTGCGCATGCCGCCTCCGCTGAGCTCTGCGGTGTTGGTCCGGCAGGCGGGATGCGTCCTCCTCTGTGCCCCTGTGCTCCTGAGGCCGGCAGGGCCCGAGTCCCTGGTGCCCCTGGCCTGGCCCCCGGAGGGCGCCTCGGGAGCCCAGGGAGGGAGGCAGAGACCCTGGTGGTCTCGCTGCCACCGGCTCACCCCGTTTTTCTGGAAGGCTCTCAGCATCCTGTCTGTGCCCTGGAAGGTCATGCTGGTGGCCGACGTGGATCTGTGTTTGCAGACAGGTGGGCTGCGGAGGGTCCCGGGGGTCGACTGCGTGCCCGAGACAGCCACCAGCCTAAATCCCACTGTGAGCCCCGGTGGCCCCAGGGCCCTGGAAATGTGACCGGCGAGTCAGTTCATAACGTAGTTTATATTCCGCCGCTGTTTTTTCAGTTAAATGCAGGTGAACCTGCAGTAGATTCATCTAAATCCACACAGCTGCGGAAGCTGGTGCTTTTCTTTCTCATTTCTTTCTCTGAATTTTCACCGAGGGGCTTTTATCTTCCCCTTAATCCTACCATTTCTGTCAGGACATAATCTCTTTCTCAAATTTACATTTTAATTACAAGGCCAGCTGAACTAGGTAAAATCAATAATGTCAAGCTCGGCGGCCTAACTCCACGCGGAAGCCGCAGCCTCTCCATTTCCCGCTATCGATTTCATCGCTCCCACCCTGTCTGCCTTAGTGCTCCAGGCAAATGGGTGCCACTTGGTCAATTTAAACAAAAAAGGGGATTTGGGCATTTGTAGGATTCTTTCGAAAAGCAAATGTGGGAGTAAATTTGAGCCAGGCTCCTGTTCGGGGGAGGCCCACGCCCCTCTGATGGCTGGGCACAGCTGGCCTCCAGCTCTGCTGGAGAACGCTCGCTCCCGGGCCTGAGGCATGCCGTCTGCTTTTTGGGGTTTTACTTTGAAAGTGTATGTCAGTGAGATTGATTTTCTACAACAATGTGAAAATGGTAGTGTTTTTTTAGCGCCCTGAGTATTTACTCTGCTTTAACACGCTTACCCATCTTTTTAATGGTTTAAAACAACAAATCAATGAAAAATATATTTCATTCTTGTAACTCCTAGGAATTCTCATATTGATCCTTAGGCTGTGATTGTATCCATCTAAATGCCACAAGGCCCACTTATCAGCCTCCCCCCCGCCACCCCCCGCACCAAGCCGCGTGCGTGTGATGCGCGCGCACACTCGTGGGGCTGACTGACCGCGACAGGCTCTTGTCAGCATCCAGGGTAGGGGTGTTGGGGGGTTTTGAGAGCTGGGGCTAGGGTGTCATGGTGACGATGGAGCCTGGTCTGTCGTCCCCACACTGGGGGACCCGTCACGCCCGAGCGGCTCCGTCTTCCACTCCCAGCCGCGGGAACCTGAGAAAGGGCAGCGGGCAGGCTTGCCGGGCGTCTGGAGTAGGCGCTGGCAGGTGTTTCCTGCGAAGGGCCCGTGGGCTTCTGGAGCCCACGCGAAACCAGCTGTGTGCAGCCACGTGCTGGGAAAACCATGCGCCGAAAGCGGCCCATCCGCTGATGCCCACGAAGCACTGGGCTGGCCGTCTCCAGGTCGAGTCAGGCTGCCCCTGCTGCAGAGAGCCCACGCCCGAAGCAGACGCGGCCCCTCCCAGCGGCACCGGCCCAGCGAGACTCTTCCTCGAGTCCCGAATGGCCGGGAAGCCTTCCCTGGTGTTTAGTCCTCGGTGCTGCCGTGTCCTTCCCGATTTTCTCTCTAAATCCAGTATTCATGCTTCGGTGTTGGAGAGTGCTGGGTGGAGCTGTGTTCAGCAGGACCCTCGACCCCGCGAGTCTGCATGCTCAGGAAGGGTGTGTGTGTCACTTTCGACATCCGGGTCTCCATTGCCCTTTGCTCGGCTCCTTCTGACCGCTCCGTGACCCAGGGACCGTGGTCTGGGGACGCTGAGGTCCCTCGGTCCTCCTGCCTGGTGGTCCCGTCAGGTGTGCGTGTGTTCTGGAAGGCTTTGCGGATACTGTCCCTTGCGGCTGTGGATTTGACCTCTTTGATCTGTTCTATGAGGGTTTGCAGAGCCGGCCACGGCAAGCCCTTGAGCTGCTTACCACGTGCGCCGCGTCTCTCCTCGTATGTCCGTTCTGAGCTTGAACCCTGGTCGTCCTGGCGACACTGCCGTCCCCGCTTTCTCTGTCCCACTTGCAGGGTGAGTCCACGTGGCCGTCTTCAGCTTCATTGTTCTGTTGACTGTTTGCTTTAAGTGGGTCTTGTGTGGACCACAAGTTGCTAAAAGTTTTAGGACTAATCTGCCTTTTAGCTGATTTTAATCCATTTAATGAATTGTTTCTAGTTGTTCAATGTCCCGGGCACTTTACTGCCCACCCACTTGTTTTTTCCTTTTTCCCACCTTTTGTTTGGTAGGTTAATGCTTCTTCTGTTTGTTTTTAAAACATTCATTAAATATTAATACAATTGTAAGATCATTGATTTTTCTGAGGGTTATTCTGCGTTTTTGAAAGCTTCATCCCCATGTTTCCTGTGCACGGTTCCAGTCACAGCGTAAGGATGTCTGCACCACCCTGCCCCCGCAGCCCTCCTCAGCCCCGCGCGCGTGCTCGCTCTGGTGTTGGGTGTGCGCCGGGAGGCACGGCCATCACTTCGCACTTACACTCGCATGCCTTGCCCCAAACTCGCTTTCCTTCCTGACAGATCGATTACTTTGTCGGGGAGTGTTTTCTTTTTTTTTTTTTTTTAAGATTTTATTTATTTGCGAGAGAGAGAATGAGATAGAGAGCATGAGAGGGGGGAGGGTCAGAGGGAGAAGCAGACTCCCCGCTGAGCAGGGAGCCCGATGCGGGACTCGATCCCGGGACTCCAGGATCATGACCTGAGCCGAAGGCAGTCGCTCAACCAACTGAGCCACCCAGGCACCCTTGGGGAGTGTTTTCAAAGCAGGCCTTCCGGCGGCTCCAGAAGGGGTCTCGTGTGTGCGAGGCCGTCCATCACGGGCACCGCGAGATGCTAGTGAGCTAGATAGAAAGTTCTGAGTGTGAACGTCTTTTCCTTCAATCTTCTCAGGACGACCTCCGGAGACTTCACCTTCACCATCACTGTTAAAAATGCTGGTATTGGTAGGATGCTTGTCTTTCAAGGTCTTTCATCCGCCTTTTTTCTTTGGAAGCTTTTTGGATCTTTCTCTTCATTTTCAATGTCCTTAAATATCCTCGTAACTGTACTAGCCGTGTTTTCTCCGTCTCTTTCTTGGCACTCAGCAGGCCCTTTTGGTCTTTCCCAAATTCCAGGAAAATTGGGTGTCTTATGTCTTCAGCTGTTTCCAAACTCCAGTTATATTTTCTGCGCTTCTGGGGTCCAGTAACGAGGATGCTGACACATGTGTGCCATGCGTCTGTTCTCCCCACCTGAGCTGTGAAAGCTGCCCCTGGCTTCATCCCCCGCCTGCTGCCCGGGGTGCCCGCCACTCACGTGCACCTCCGCCTGGCGAGTCGTTACCGCGTTCTGTGCAGGGGGTCTCCACTCTCCCCTCCTCTTCCCAAGCTCCGGGCCCCTAGGCCCTTGGGGAGCGTGCAGCACGCTTGACCTGCTTGATGTCTCGTCCTCTGTCTGGGACATGCCGCTCAGCCTGTTTCCTTCCTTCCTGGCAGGTCACAGTTCTCAAGGTGTGAGTGCGCTCAGCCTGCAGGCCCTCAGCGGGGAGAGTGCTCAGTGCAGGCCCTTGGCCCCCACAGCGAGTGTGGGGAGGGGTCGATTCCCACAGGGTGCCGTGCCTGTGGTGACATCATCCACACCCTGTGCCGCCCTGGGACCCTGGCTTGCACGGGGCAGGGGGGCTGTGCGCCCCACAGAGGGGCCAGCAGGGGTCAGGAAGGGCCCTGATAGTGTTGAAGAATCTGCTTTCACCCTGTTCTGAGGACTTGGGGATGGACGCTGGCCTGCAGAGGTCAGTGGCCTGGTGGCCTCGTCTTTGGTGTTGGGAGACGCCAGCGTGGTGGGCTCGTCTGGCTGGCGGCTGGGCAGGTGCCGCGTGGAGCCTGGCAGTGGGCTAGTGGGTGCATCACTGCTGTGCTGTCCCCATGGGATGGAGCACGATGCCCCCGCGGGTTGGTCTGGGCTCGTGGGAACGGTGGCTGGGAACAACAGCACATCTGTGTTCCAGGGCTGGAGAAAGACCCAGCTGCACTGGGCTTGCAGGCGAGGAAGATGGCGAGGAGGGATGAGGAGGCACGTGACCCCACCTCTGCTGCTGCCCAGCTGCATCAGCTGCATGGACGCTTGCCCCCTCCCCCGAGCCCCAGGTGACTTCCAGATGCCCTGCCTCTGCCCAGGGCGTTGACCTGCCTCCTCAAGCTGCCGAGTCCCCCCTGGCTGTGTGGGGGCAGCCCTGGGTGCGCCCCGGGCCGGGAGAGCACCTGCCACTATCTGTGCCTAGGGCAGGGCTTGCACGGGATGGGGGGCCCTCAGAGAGCTGGCATGTCAGCCAGGGCACGGGGGCGGATGTCAGGGCATCCCCAGGCCCAGGATGAAGACCAGAGATCCGAGACCGGCTCCCTGCAGACCGCTGGGGCTTGGTGCTGGGCTTCTCACAGGTCCCAGAGGCTGCCCTGGAGCCCGGGCCCAAGATGGCAGAGGTCACTGCTCCAGTGTGTTGACCCAGGGGCTCTGTGTCTGCTCGGGGAGGGAGGACGACGAGGGGGGAGGCAGGTGGCTGTGGCCGGCTCTTGCGTGCACAGTCAGGGTGTCCTGTTTGTGGCCTCACCAGGGCACCTGTGGGACCGGACAAGGCTGGGAAGCTGGCAGCGGAGTGGGCCCGGGCGCCTGTCGTGCCCTTTGGGGTGGACCTGTGTTACTGGGGCCAGGAGCAGCCGATGGCGGGGAGGATCCTCAAGTGAGTGTGGGTGTGTCTGGTCCCGCCTTTCCCTGGCCGGCGAGCACACCACCGGGCCCAGGGCCTGGCTCTGCCTTACCGTCCCTGCAGGGGCGATCACCACACGCAAGCTCTACTGGGACCATAGAACTGTGGCCGGGGGGGCGGGGGGGGCCTGGACTTTTTCTGAACCTTCCTGTGGCTCCCTGGGGAGACGTCCTGCACGGTCTTCCTACAGTCTGGCATCGTGAGGTGTGAAGGGTGGCTGCCTGGGCCGAGGCCCTTCCTGATCTGTCCTCGCCCCTCCGGTGCAGACTCAGACCTCCACACAGGCCAGGCCTGGGGTCTGCAAGGACTTTCTGGGGAGCTGTCCCCTCGCAGTGCTTGCGACGCTCTCTGTGGGGCCGCAGACGAGAAGGGGGCACAGGTGCACCCCCCAGGCGGGCCCCCGCCCCCTAGCGCTGCCTGTCCTGCCGGGCTGTGGGCAGCCATGGAGGCTGTGGACAGGGGACGACTCGAGGTTTGGCTTGTGGCGCCTGTGGTGGGGTCCAGGAGTCTCTGTGACCTGCTCTCCTCGGGCTGCCTGGCCTGGAGCCACACTGTCGGCAGCATCCCTGGGGCGGCTGTTGCAGGCGTGACTCTGAGCACCGCTTCTGGAAGCCCAGCGAGGTGGACGCGGAAGTGGGCAGCGCCAGCGTCCCCGAGATGCCGTGGAACCGCTGCATCACCTTCGCGGGCAGGTTCGAGCCCGTGCGGCACCAGTGCCGCGCCCCGAGGCCCGACGGCCGGCTCTGCGAGCGCCAGGACCGGCTGAAGGTGAGGCGGCGGCCGGGGCCGGGATGGGTGCCGCGGGGCTCCGCTGGGCCAGGGCAGGGCGGCCGGATGGAGTGCTGGGCTCCAGCCGGCCGGTGCAAAGCCCACCGTGGCCTTCAGCTGGGCCCCCTTCCCAGGGAGGGCTTGTCCGTGGCTGGCGGGCCTCGTGCCGGCGTTGGGAGTCTGACATCCAGGACCCGGGGGGCTCTGCGCTGGTTCCCACGTCCCTGCTCCCCACAGCACCTCCTGAGCCGGAGATTCACTGAGTGTGAAGGGAGGTGGCTTTGGCCAGGCCGATGGAGGCCCCAGCCTCCCTGCTGCCAGAACGGCTCTCCTCTTTGTCACAGTGCCCTTTCCATGGGAAGATCGTCCCCAGAGACGAGGCGGGCCGGCCCCTCCACCCGGAGGATAGGGCCTGGGAACAGAGGCAGCAGCTGCGGAGACAGGCAGGGCGTGCAGGTAGGTCTAAGGGCTGGAGCAAACGGTGGACACTGTGTGGGGGGACGGCCTGGGACCCTGGCAGCCACCTGCCGCCTCCAGCATGGTCGTAACTCACAGTGGTGCCGCAGGGGACACGGGCTTCTAGTTGGGCCACGTGTTCGTGTCGCTGCCACTGGGGGACACGGAGTCATGGCCAGAAACCACCAGCATGTTGTTTGCTGGTTCGGGTTCTGGGTTCTGAGTCACGTTTTTAAGGAAACGGGGGAATGGAGGTAAGAAAAGTTACTGGCTGAAGCCCGTTCTCCAGAGAGGAGGGCAGCACGTTCACACCAGGTGGACACTTGCTCCGTTGCCTGGCCCACATCCTCTGCTCTGCAGCCTAGCAGGTTCCGGGCACGTGTGCGTGCGGGCTGTGTGCGTGTCCGGGCGGACGCGAGGAGGTGCCAGGCAGGCCCTGAGCCCCAAAGCTCGGGAGCCAGGTCTCCAGAGGCTGGTCCAGGGTTCTAGCTCGCAGGCTAGCTTCAGGCCTTGAGCCATGTAAGCATCGTTCGCAGGACAACTTGGGGAGCTTGTCTCAACACAGTATGTGTGTCGGCGCCTCGTGCTGGGCACATGCCACATGCTGGCCACCATGTGACTCCCAAGGATCCCTGAACAGCAGGGCCACGGGGTGTCCCCCAGAAGGGGCCGTCACTGTCTGGGCAGCATGCGGGCATGCTCAGAACGGGGGGGCACCCACCAGATCCCTGATCTGTCTCAGTGTCTCTGTGGTTTGTCAAGCCTGGGCTAGGGTCTGGAGGTCCTGGCTGCCTGGGGCTCTCGCTGTCCCAAGAAAGCCACATCGCCGACCCAGAGCCCCGATGAAGGGAAGGCGGACGTGTGCGTGGGGGCAGCACTGGCCTGCACGTGAGGGTCCCAGCCAGGCCGTGTTTGTCGTCATTAGTGGGGTTTTTCCCTTTGACAGATGGGAGATTTTAGGCTGACACTGTGTCTGAGCCCCCTGGGCCATGGACGGTGGCAAGGAGGGGCCCCTGACCTGCTAATCCGCGGGGTGAGGCCTCCCCTGGTGGCTCACACTCGGGAGCAAATTAAGTGCGTATTTTTTGTGTCAGCCCTGAAGAGTATCTGGTTCTCCAGCCCTCGGTGACTTGTTAACAACAGGTACCGGGCTGTGGCCGCGGGCCGGCGCTGGCCAGTCAGATGTGAAATAGCATCTCTTTACTAACTACACTATTGATCCCCGCCTCCCTCGCACGCGGGGCAATTTTCTTTTCCCTGGTGCTAACCTTGGTGACAATGCACGCCGAGCTCCAGGGCCCGCCAGCGCACAGGAAGGCCGCGTGGCCCCGGCATCTATTGATTTTCTTCAAAGGCTTTTAAATTGCTCCTTCATTTTACTGAGATGCTCATTCCATCTCTACCGGGCGCCAGTATTTTTCCGTGGTGTTTAAACAATTGCTCCATTCACTGGGCTCCTAAACTGTGGCGCCTTCTTATTACAGGAGATAAACTGTTTAGACAGTTTTCCTTAATCTCAGATTAATCGTTCCTGGATCTGAATTGTGCAGCCCTGTACTCCTTCACCTCAAAAAATCAACTTGGGGAGGCCTAGCCATCTGTCTGTCTGGGGCGCACGTTCCGTGGGTTTCCCGCGGGCGTGGGGGCGCCATCGGAGTGTGGAGCGCCTGGCACCCTTCTGTGAGCCAGGCTTGGTGTCCGCAAGTCTGGGCACATGAGGGGGGCTGTGCCGTCGCATCCCTGACCGGGATGGCCTTCTGGAGGCGGCCAGGCTGGACGGCGCCCTGGCTCACGGAGCCCACCCCCACCTTTCAGAGGCCAAGCAGCGCCCCCTGGGGCCAGGATGGGAAGGAGCAGCCAGGGCAGTAGCAGGGCCTTGGGCACCCTGGGCGTTAGGCAGTGGAAGCTTCCCTGAGACCCGGCGGATGAGCGCACTGGCGAGGCCGGGCTCTGTGGGACCTGGCGCACCGTCTCCTGCCACCTTGCCTGGCCTGGGCCGTGGCAGACCACACGTGGCAAGAAGAGCAGAGCTGTCCAGGTGAACTGACCCCCTCGTTGCTGAAGCCTGTTGCCAAGTCCTCTTTGGACCAGTAAAAAAGCTTGACCTGTCCTGACCCCTTGGCCCTGGCCGCCCCTGGTGCACACAAACACCAGTCAGCAGATGGGTCTGGCCACCATAATTGGGGGCCTGCTGGGGCCCAGTCCAGCTGGAGGCAGGGAAGTAGCCTGCCGCGGGCACCCGTCTCAGCTGCCTTCCTGCCTGGGGGGTCAGTGGATGCACCAGATGAGGCCTCTGGGCCCTGTCCCGGGACCCCTGTGGGTCCCGGGACAGGGGTGGGAAGCTCTGCCTTGCTGTCTGCCCCCTTTGTCACTGGCCGGCAGTGGGCAAGCTGAGCCGACCCTTGAGGCAAGGAGGGGTCAGGGCTCGAGTGAGAGGCTCTCTGGTCGGTGACAGAAGTGTCTTGAAATCTCGGGGTCTTTTTGCAGGTTGGCAGGACCCCGAGTTCATGAGAGATGTGGAGGCTGCCACGGGAGTGGACCTTGGCTCGTCTGGGTCCAGCGGGAGAGGCAAGGGCAAGCGGAGGAAGCACCCTGGCCTCACCGACCTGAAACAGCAGGCCGACACTGCCCGCGCACGCATCGCCAAGAAGGTGTTTGCTAAGTAAGAGCTCCTTGCGGCATGCCTGCCCCCACCCCCCTGGATTTGGGGATGCAGGAGGCGGGCTGACTGAGCTCGAAGACACTGTCAAGGCCTGGGGCCCCTAGCTCCTCTCTACTACACATTTCTCCCTGTGACCACCAGGCCCCCCGGGCGGGACGGGTGCTCCTAGCCAGCAGGGCCATGGGTGGGCCATTCAGGAGCAGAGCCTGGAGCTGGTCACCCCGAAGGGATGGATGAGCTGCTTCTCTAGCGGAGGGGCTTCACTGACCAGCCAGCACATCCTCATTTCCTGGTGGGGGGGTGAGGTCTCCATGGGGGCTGCTGGTACGGAGCCAGCTCCATGGCCTTCCCTTGCCCAGCTGACCCAGAAGGGCTCTCGTAGTCAGTGCCCAGCGGTGTCCACCTGGTAACAGCCAGCAGGGGAGTACCTTCCAAGGCTGGTGGGGTGGGAGGCACCACACAGGTCTCTGCTCCAGCAGAGCGTGGCCAGTGCTGCCGGGGAGGTGGGTAAGGGACGAAGCATCTCCATAGCCCAGCTGGATGTGCCTGGCGGTTGGGAATTGGGCAGGGCCAGGGCAGGAAGGCCGCCAGCCAGCACTCTCACTGCCTGCCTGCCACTGGGGCTGGCCAGACAAAGGCATTTGGGGTGCTTGTATAGGAAGCCCCGTGAGGCCATGGCCTCCCTGGTTGAATTTATGCTCAGGTTGTGGGTGCCATCAGGCCGTCCTCGTGGGCCAAGCTTCTCAAGCAGACACCTGGAAGGCGTTCAGCTCCGTGTGGCGGGTGAAGGAGGCTTTTCCTGTCCTCCTGGCCAGCGTCACCATGTGCTTGGCCTGAGTGGGGTCGCACAGGAGGGCGGCTTCCTCAGTGCCCGCACGGAGCCCCCAGGAGCTTGTCCTGTTGGAGGGCCACAGATGACCGAGCCCCGGGGTTGCACCCGGCGGTTACACGGGCACTTGGGGGCAGCGGGGCATCCCTCTTGGCGGCCTCGGAGGCTTCCTGCTGGGTACGGAGTCCTGCTGAGTCCAGGCCCTTGGCGGCACAGCACCCAGGCCAGGCAGCGAGACGCGCTTGGTAGCCCATCTGTGTGTTTTTGCTGCAGGACTGCAGTGCTGCCCCGTGGCTCTGTCCTGGGGCGCTATGCACGTGCCTGGGCAAGCTGGGCAGGGTCTGCATCTGATGCTGCCTTGTTGCATCTGCCCTGAAGCTGCTCCCCACCAGCCTGCTGGGCAGGCTCTGCCTTCATTCTGGGTGCAGCCTGGTGCTGGCGAGATTAGGGATCCTGGGAGCTGCCTTCAGGGCTCAGGGAACCCACAGGGTTAGTGTCACAGTTGCTTTTATTTCTGAGCTGTGTCGCCCATCTGCAGGGAGTCAGTGGTCTGCGTGTGGCAGCCGCCGGGGACCAGGACCTGATCCCAGCCAGACCACAGTCGGAGCCCAGAGACCTGGCCGGGCTTCCCTGATCGTGTCTTGCTTTGCTTTCCCCACAGAACCGCTGTGCAGAGGGTGGTCACAGCCATGAATCAGATGGACCGGAAGAAGCACGAGAAGTTTGCAAACCAGTTTAACTATGCACTGACTTAGAGGGCCAGACTGGTGGTCCCCTCTGGTCGTCTGCTCTTCTCCCTCGGCCAGGGCACCAGGATCGGAGCGCAGACACAGGACTGGGCTGTAACCACAGCCGCTGTTGTTATGTGTGTTTCGTGTGAGGAAAGAGTGTGTATTCTAGTCACAGTTCCCCAGAGGTATGGACTCCCCCTGCCCTGGGGAACCACAGCCATCCGGGTTATGGAGGTGACGTGGGCAGCGTGGCTCAGTGGGGCATCTGGCAAAGCCTGTCCCCATGTCACCCCAAGCCCCACTTCCCAGCCTTTTCCCTGGGCAGTAGGAGGGACTCGGGGGGGACTCTAGGAACCCTCATGCTTTTATGTAAACACTGTTTTTAAGACAAGCTGGGAAGTGAACCGTTCAGCGTCGTACCTTGCGTTTCCAGCTCACAGAGCGTTTTGGTGATGGTTCTGCATTAGAATGTCAACAACTACTTCTCTACTTTTTTGTTTTTCAAAAATAGCTTTATACTTCCACACCCTAGAATTCACCCTTTCAAAGTGTACCACTTAGTGTGGCATGAGGTATGTTGTACAACCTGGACCACCTGTTTCCAGAACTTTCCATCACCCCAGAAGAAAGCCTGTCCCTGTTAGCGGTCACTCCCCTACTCCTTCCTCCAGCCCCTGGCCCTTTCTGGATGGACGGCATCCTAGCAACACGTGGCCTTTCGTGTCTGGTTCGTCCACTTAGCACAGTGTCTCCTGGGTTCTTCCATGTTGTGGAATGCGTCAGAGCCCTGTGCCCTTTTACTGCCCACTGATGACACCATAGTGTGGGCACAGCACACTGTTCATCTGTTTATCACTGGCATCTGGGTTGTTCTCACACTGGCCGTGATGAGTGATGGGTCTGTGAACGTGTGTGCAAGTCTTGTGTGGACGTGGATTTTCATTTCTTTTTGGTTTACGCCTAGAAGTGGAATTGCTAGCTCACTTGGCAACTCTGTGTTTAACTTGTTGATGAACCGCCAGACTGTTCCCCAGCAGCTGCACCATTTGACTTACCTTCCCAGTGCGTGAGGGTTCCAGTTTCTCTGTGTTTTTGCCAATACGTTATCTGTGTTTCATCTTAGCCATCTTGGTATGAAATGGTATCTTTTATTTTTTTTTAAGATGTTATTTATTTGAGAGGAGAACATGAGAGAGGGGAGGGGCAGAGGCAGAGGGAGAAGCAGGCCTCCCGCGGAGCAGGGAAACCGATGCGGGGTTTGACCCCAGGAACCTGGGACCATGACCTGAGCCGAAGGCAGACGCTTAACCAGCTGAGCCACCCAGGTGCCCCTGAGGTGGTATCTTGATTTGCATTTTAATTTGTATTTTCCTAATGACTACTGATACTATCTTTTCATGTGTTTATTGGCCATTTGTGTATTTTTTTGGAGAAATATCTATTCAGATCTTTTGCCCATTTTCAATTGCATTGTTTGAGTTAGAATTCTTTATATATTCTAGGGGCATCTGGGTGGCTCAGTTGGTTAAATATCTGCCTTCGGCTCAGGTCATGGTCCCGGCGTCCTGGGATCGAGCCCCGCATGGGGCACCTTGCTCAGCGGGGAGCCTGCTTCTCCCTCTCCCTCTGCTGCTCCCCCTGCTTGTGCACTCTCTCTCTTTCTCTCTCTCAAATAAATAAACAAAACCTTAAAAAAAAAAAAAAAGAATTCTTTATATATTCTAGACCTTTATGTTGTTTGCAAATATTTTCTCCCATTTTCTTTTCACTTTCTCGATGGTGCCCTTTGAAGCACTAAGTTGGTAATTTTAATGACATCCCGTATTTTTTCTTTTGTTTCATGTGCGTCTGGTGTCCTGAGCACCTGGCCTGATCCAAGATTATGATTTACTCCTACATTTTCTTCTAAGAGTTTTATAGTTTTAGCTCTTACATTTAGGTCTTTGATCCATTTTGAGTTAATTTTTGTATATGGTGTGAGGTAGGGATCCACCTTCATTCTTTTGTGTGTGGATTCCAGTTGTCCCAGCACCATGTGTTGAAAAGATTATTCTTTCCCCCACCGAATTATCTTGACACCTTTGCTGATCATCCGTTGGCCATAAATGTAAGAGTTTATTTCTGGATTCTCCGTTCCTTTCCACTGACCTATATATATCCTTATGCCAATGCTGCAGTGTCTTGGTTAATCTTGCTTTGTGGTAAGTTTTGAGCCCTGAAAGTAAGTCCTCCAACTTTGTTCTTTTTCAAGATTATCTTGGCTATTCTGGGTCCCTTGCATTTCCAAATGAATTTTAGGATCGGCTTGTTAATTTCTACCAAAAAAGGGCAGCTGAGATTTTGATAGAGATTTTGTTGAATCTGCGGATCACTTTGGAAAGTATTGTCATCTTCATGTTAAGTTTTATGATTCGTGAACTTGGGATATTCTTATTATTTGACTGTTCTTTAGCTTATTTCAACAGTTTTTTGTTGTTTTCAGTGTACGAGTTATGCACTTATTTTGTTAAATTTATTCTTAAATATTTTATTCTTTTTGATGCTATTGTAAATATAATTGTTTTCTGAATTTCATTTTTGGATTGTTCATTGTTAATGTATAGAAATACAACTGATTTTTGTATGTTGGTCTTGTAGCCTGAAACTGTGCTGAGCTCGGTTAGTTCTAATTGTGTGTGTGTGTGTAGATTCCTTGGGATTTTCTCTATGCACAATCATGTCATCTGCAAATAGAATGCTTCCTTTACAATTTGGATGCCTTTCTTTTGCCTAATTGCCTTGGCAAATTAGGAACCTCCAGTACAATGTCGAATAGCAGTGCTGAGAGCAGACATCTTCATCTTGTTCCTGGTTTGGGGGAGAAAGCTTTCAGTCTTTTCACCATTGAGAATGGTGTTGGCTGTGGGTTTTTGTAGATGCATTTTGCCAGGCTGAGAAAGTTCCCTTCTAATTCTAGTTTGTTGAGTGTTTTTGTCTTGATGTTGAATTCTGTGAGATGTCTTTTTATATCTATTAAAATGGTCGTGTGGTTTTTGTTCTTTATTCTGTTGCTGTGGTATACTACATGAATTGTTTTTCATATGCTGAACCACCCTTGCATTCATGGGATAAATCCCACTTGGTCTGATATATAATTCTTTTTATGTTATTGCACTTGGTTTGCTAATATTATGCGATTCCAATGACCTGATTTGCTAGTATTTTGTTAAGGAATTTTGTGTCTGCTCATAAGAGATATTACCATACACTTTTCTTCTTATGATGTCCTTGTCTGGCTTTGGTATCAGAGTAGTGCTGGCCTCATAGATTGAGTTGGGCAATGTTCCTTCCTTGTCTGTTTTTTGGAAGAATTTATGAAGGATTTGTGTTAATCCTTTAAACATTTGGTGGAATTCACCAGTGAAGTCGTTTGGTCCTGGGCTTTTCCTTGTGAGAAGTCTTTTTTTTGTTTGTTTTTTGTTTTTTTTTTTAATTTATTATCTTGGGTGCCTGGGTGGCTCAGTCGGTTAAGCATCTGCCTTTGGATCACATCATGATCCCAAGGTTCTGGGATCGAGTCCCAAATGCTCCCTGCTCAGTGGGAATTCTTCTCCCTCTCCCTCTCCCACTCCTTCTGCTGGTGCTCTCTTTCCCTCTCTTTCCCTGACAAATGAATAAACAAAATCTTTTTAAAAAATTAATTTATTATCTTTATTTATTGTAGATCTGTTTAGATTTCCTGTTCTTCCTTGAATCAGTCTTAGTAGTTTCTGTATTTTTAGGAATTTGTCTGTTTCATGTAGGTTTTTGGTTGTAATTTGTTGACATACAGTTGTTTATAGTATTCCTTTGTAATTCTTTTTATTTCTTTAAGGTTGCTGGCAATGCCTCTTCTTTCATTCTGGGATTTTAGAAATCTGAGTGTTTTCTCACTTTTTAAAATATGCTTGGCCAGTCTAACTAAAGGCTTATCAATTTTATTGATTTATTCAAAACCCAACTTCTGGTTTTGTTGATTTTTCTCTCTTTTTTTTTTTTTTTCCATTTTTTGTTTTGTTAATTTCCGCTCTGATCTTTATTATTTACTTTGGGTTGCTTTGGGTTTAGTTTTCTCTCTTTCTAGTTTCTTAAGATAGAAGATTAGCTTACTGATTTGAGGTGTAGCTTCTTTTTCAGGTAGGTGTTTACAACTCTTAAGTTTTCATCTAAGCACTGCTTTAGCTTCACTGTGTAAGTTTTGGTATGTTGTGTTTCATCTTTATCTCCCAAGTATTTTCTCATTTCTCTTGAATTTCTTTTACCCATTGATTATTCAGGAGTTGGTTTAATTTCCACATACTTGTTAATTTCCCAAATTTTCTTTTGTTATTTGATTTCTAATTTCATTCTATGTGGCCAAAGAATACATTGTGTATGATTTCAGTCCTTTGAAATTTAAGACTTATTTTAAATGTGTATCCTGGAGAATGTCCCGTGTACACTTGAGAACTGTTCTGTTGTTGAGTGTTCTGTAGATTCGTGTTAAGTCAAGGTGGTTCATAGTGTCACATGTCTTCTCTTTCCCCATTGGCCTTCCACCCGGTTGTTCTCTGTACTGTTACTTTTCCTGATGGAGTGACCCTTTTGTAATGGGGTCTTCTCTGTGTCTAGTAACAGCTTTTGTCTTAAAGTCTCTTTTGTATGATATCCATATGCCTTGTGGCTGTTGTTTGTGTGGTACATCTTCTTCCACCCGTGTAGTTTCGTTGTGTCTGATTCTAACATGCTCCTTGAAGACAGCATGCAGCTGATTGTGGCTTTTAATCTGCTCTGCTGATCTCTGCCTCTAAGTGCGATATTTAGTCCGTTTACCTTTAATGTACTTACTGATAAGGGAAGATTTATGTCTGTCATTTTTCAGTTTTTCTACATGTCTTTTTCCTCTTTTCCCCATTGCCGTGTGTGTGTGTGTGTGTGTTAGACGGATGTTCGCTGAATTCCCCTGTGTCTTTCACTGAATTTTTGTTTTGGGGGGAATTCTTTAGTGGTTGTACTGCAGATTCCAGTGAACAAGTAAATACAGTCTAGTTTGGCTTCATACCAGCTTAGTTTCAGGAGTGTACAAAAGCTCTGCTCTAATAGAGGTATGTTCCCTCCTAGTGCCTTTGTGTGATTTTTGTCATACAAATTACAACTTTATAGACTGTGAGCCCATCAACACAGTTTTGTGATTATTGCTTTATGCAGCTCTTTAAAGTCAGATAGGAAAAGAAAAGATTTACGAACAAAAATACATTTATTCTGTCTGCTCTTTGGCTCTGTGGTTGCCTTTACCTGCACCGTCTGTCTCTTCTTGTGGATTCGACTAATGTCTTTCACTTTGGTCTGAAGGGCTCCTTGCAGTGTTTCTTGAGGGATAGGTCTGCTAGCAGTGAATTGTCCCCATTCTTGTTTATCTGGAATGTCCTAACGTCTTCACTTTTGAAGAATAGCTTTGCTAGATTTCAATATGTTGTTAATAGTCTTTGTCTTCTAACCCTTTGAATGTATCATCCCACTGCCTTCTGGTGTCCACGGTTTCTGATGAGAAGCCAGTGTTATTAAGTTGGGATTTTGGAAAATGCTTTGTATACAATAAGTTGGGTTTTTTCCTTGCTGCTTTTAAAACGCTCTTTGTCTTTGACTTTTAACAGTTTTAACTATGTGTCTAGTTATGGATCTCTTTGTGTGTGTCCTCCTTAGAATTTGTTGAGCTTCTTGGATGTAGAGGTTGTCGTTCATCAAATTTGGGAGGTTTGGGTCCATTATTTCTTCAAAGGTTCTTTCTGCCTCTTTCTCTCTCTCTCTCCCGTCATTGGACTCCCATTATGTGTATTTCGGTGGTCGGTGGTGTCTCTTTGGTCCCTGAGGCCCTGTTCTTTTTTTTCTTTCTTTTTTCTGTTCCTCAGAATGGACCTATTGATCTATCTTCAGGGTCACAGATTCTTTCTTTTGCCAACTAAAATCTAATATATAGTTGTTCTAATGAATATCTCATTTCACTTGTACTTTCCAAGTCCAGAATTTTCTATTTGGTTCTCATCTATAATTTCTTTCTTTTTACCAATGTTCTCTATTTGGTGAAACATTATCTCATATTTTAATTCTTTAGACATGGCTTCCTTTGCTTCTTTGAACATGTTTATAAGAACTGGTTTATAGTATTTGTCTAATAAGTTCAGCATTGGGCTTATTCAGGGACAGTTTCCACTGACTACTCTTCTCCTTATGTATGGGCCATACTTACCTGTTTCCTTGTGTGTCATAATTTTTTTGTTGACATTAGACATTTTAGATGATATAAGGTGGCAACTCTGGAAATCAGATCCCCGCCTCCCCACAATTTGTTGTTGCCATTTGTTTAGTGTCTTTTCTGAACTATGTAAAAATGTGTATTCTTTGTCATGCTTGGCCACCGAAGTCTCTGTTTGGTCAGCTTAGTGATCAGCTCATGATTGGACAGAGACTTCCTTAAATGCTTTGATCCAAGAAGTCTTGTGGGTTTTGGCCGAAAGCCATGTGTGTGTTGGGCACACCTTGAACCCTCAGCCAGGTAGTTGCCCCCTCTGCCTTAGCTCGCACTTCCTGCTTCTTCCTGGCCTCGAGTTCAGCCAGAGGTGAGAGCTACGGACTGGACTCTTCAGGTCTTTGAGATTTTTCACCAGCCTCTTCTTTGGCCAAGCGGAAGTTGCCACTGCAGACTGCTCGTTGTCCAACAGTATCCCTGATTGTTCTCGACAGACCCGCACTGAGCTGGTTGTCAGGGCAGAAAAAAAGACAAGCCTGGCGAATGGGTTTTTTCTGGGTAGCAGCCTGATGATTCCAGTAGTGACAAGTCTCTGAGGGAGGAGGGGCTTTGGGACCCAGTCTTCCCCTCCCAGTGGCTGCCAGGCTGTTGATCTCCAGGCTACTGTGGCCCCAAGGTTGCTGGGTATAAAGGCCACTGCAGAGCTGGAGAGAGGGAATGAGAACAGTAACTGAAAATGCCACCAGGTTTGCCCTTTCCACCAAGATTGAGCCATTTTTCTAGGGTAAACTCTCCTTGGATTGTTACGGGTCTTTGGTTAATTTCCAGAGTTTTGAAAAAGTTTATTTTGTCAGTTTCCCCCGGGTTCTGTGGCATTTTGAGCAGTCCCGATTGCTGGGCAGGAAGGCCCTTCCTAGCCCTTTAGTGTTCCTAGTGGTCCTGCCAAGGATGCACTTGTACGGATGCGTCTTCACGCACAGCCATGTGTGTCTGTGGGCCGGAGTCCCGGGGATTCCAGCTTGCTTTCCCAGAAGCAACCTGCAAGAACACTGACTTCCGGAACCCTCCCTCCCTCTGTGTGGTGGCGAGCATCTTGATCTTTGCCAAGCCCTGGGGAACACTGGCATCTCGGGGTTATAATCGACCTGTCTCTTACGAGTGAGCTGTTGAGCATTTTTTCATATGGTAAAGTGCTCATTGTTGCTCCTGTTCTGTGAGTTGTACATCCATAGCCTTTGTTCATTTTCCTGTTGGTTTATCGGCTTATTTAAGTGTAGGAGCTCTTTATTCATTAAGAAAACTAGCTCTGTGTGACAGGTTGCAAATATTTCCTGTCTGCTGACTTTGCTAATGTTTTGCCGCGTGGATGTTCATGTATCTGAGTCTCTGTGTCCCTTCCCCAAAGATTATATTAAATTCTTCCTGTGTTTCCTCTGGTACTTTTATGGGTTTCATTTCCACATTTAAATCTCACTAATCTATTTATCACTTATTTTAATATAAAACATGACCCAGGAAATCCAGTTTTCTATTTCAAATAGCTGCCCAGCTGTCATCCATTTCTTGACAAATTAGTATTTCTTTAGCGGATGTGGAGCACCACCTTCTCTTATGTCGATACCCATGGACAGTGGTTCTGCTTATGAACTTTCTCTTCTGCCCCATCAACTTGCCTATGTGCGTGTTACCACACCATTGTGATTACCGTAGCTTTGTGCTATGTTTTTACGTCAGAGACCGCTTTCCTTTCACTTTGAGGCAGTTAGACAAGAGGTGTGGGGGAGGGGGGTGTTTTGTGAAACTTAACTCAGGACCATAGGGGCTGCTGGTGGAGCGTGGGATGGAGGGGCCCTGCTGTCCCCATCCAGACCAGACGGCAGGAGGGAGGATTGGCAGGGCCCGGGGAGCATCATTCCAGAGTTGTGACTCAGGACTGGGGTTGGATGGACTATTACAGAAACAGGGTGTCACAGAATTAGCTAACTCCAACACAGGATTTATGTGTGCTTCTGCATGAAGAGCTCTAAGGTGGGTGCCCCAAGCTGGTGAGAGGACACCCACAGTGCTGTTGGGGCTGTTCTCTTCCTGGCATTAGTGCATAGGGCCTCCATCCCCAAGGTTACCTCTTGGCCCAAGTTGGCTGCTGGGGCTCCAGCCATCACAGGGTATGGGGACGGAAGGAGGGGAGGGGGTATACCCCCATTTCCTGTGAAGAGCCTTTTCAGGTGCCCTGCTGCTTTGTCCAGTCACATGGCAGTGTCCAGCTGCCCAGGAAGCAGAAAATGCAGTCTTTTATGCTGGGGATAGGCATCCAGCTACCAGCAGCCCCTATGCCCAGGCAAGAGGGTGAATAGATCAGCCCTCAGCCGGCTGCTCTGAAAGGGCCATCACACAGGGCTGTCTGGGATGGAGTGGGATGTGGCGTCCTGGAGTTGTCACCTGCCTGTAGGGGATGGGGCCCCGGAATGGAAGAGAACCCCCTTCCTCATGGACCTGTGTGTGACAGTGTCTATGTGTGACAGTCCCTACGTCCCTGAGAATGACCTACTTGACCCCCCTTCCCCCCCAGCTGTTACCACCTGCTGCCCCTGGGTGCCCCAGGCTGTCCCAGGCTGTATGCCCCTTACCCTCCCCATGGAAATACCACCCCCTCCAGGAAGCCTCACCAGATCCCTCGAGTAGCCTAGGAAGGTCCCTCTGAGCTGAGTGACACTTCAGAGAGACATGCGAACCTCAAGTGGCCCAGGGCAGAGATCTGGGGACTCCACATGGGGCCCTGGATGCCACTTGGGGATGGGGGATGTGACGACGAGGCTGGCTTGCTGGGAGCAGGGGGCGAGTGGTCACAAGCGACTCTGCAGGTAAGGGAGGAGGAGCGGGAGGGCACAGGCAGTGACTGGTCGTGGGGAGGGCCACGGGGCTGAAGAGGCGGCCACAGAAGGTTCCTCTGCAGCTGTGTGGGGAGGGCACCACGTGGACCAGGGCACGACGACCGGGGAGGGGAGGGCAGGCGGGAGAGCGAGGACAGCAGCGGGTCCTGGGGATGGGGAGTGAGGTGGGGCTAGGGGCCGCGTTCCCCGAGTTCCCCGACGGTGGCGGAGCTGGGCCCATCCTCGCCCCTGCGGGACTGCAGGTGGGGCGCGAGGGGTCCGCGGAGCCCGGGGTCCAGCGGGGGCGGCGGAGCGAAGGAGCAGCAGCAGAACTGGCCAGGCAGCGGGGCGGGGGCCGCGCGGGCTCAAGTGGAGAAGCTGGTGAAGAGGCCGGTGTAGACAGCGAGTGTAGACAGCTCCTTGGGTAACTCTGGCTTGGAAGGGGGCGGCTGGACGCTCCCCAGGGTGGAGCGGAAGGAGGGTGTGGACACGGCCCAGCGGGGAAGGGTGGGTGAGGAGGGAGGGCGCCCTGCGCGCGGGCAGATGGCCTGAGCCGGCAGGGGGCGGCCGTGGAGAGAGGGAGGTGGACACGATGGGGCGGGGCGGCCGGCTGCCGGGGGGTGAGTGCCCTCTCGAGGGTGAGGCCCAGCTGCCGGAGAGGAGGGGCGGAGCAAAGCTGATGAGACTTGAGCGGGGCAGGTAGGCAGGAAGGCGGGCAAAGCTGTGAGGGTGGCAGGTCCGCTAGCAGCCCCCATACCCATTCTCCCCTCTTGACAAGGAGTAAGTCGCCACCAGCTTTAAAAACTACATTTCCCAGCCTCCCTTGGCTGGGAGTGGCCATGTGACCAAGCTCTGGCCAATGAGTTGTGAGCAGCTGTGTTACGTGGGCTTCTGGGAAAGCACCTTAAAAGGAAAAGGGGTGTTCCCCCTCTTCTCCCTTCCTTCCCGTCCGCTGCCTGGAATGGGGATGTGATGGCCGGAGCGTCGCCCTTCATCTGGGTCCCTGAGGATGGAGTCCCAGCCCAGCGATGCTGTAGCAGACAGTGGGATGGAGGAGGGTTTCCAAGGACTCTGTGTAGGTGTCATAGCTGCCTGGGGCTGCCAGTAACCAGATTTCCCTCACACAAGAGAAAATGAATAATCTCCTTTCTACTTGTGTTCATTTGGATTTTCTCTTTCATGCAGCCAAAGCCAATCCTAATAGCAAGGCAGCTGTGGGTGGGCATGGAGGGAAGAGAGGAGGGCCGAGTGGTGTGGGGAGTGGCCTCACGGGGAGCGAGCTCTGCCTCTGTCTGGGCTCAGCAGTCCCTGGGCAGGAGACGCGAGGCCTTCAGGTAGGCCTGTATGTGTCTGGGCTCACACCTGCAGGGCCTGTGCCTTGCTCGACAGGAGACAGAGACGACCTGGGTGTGTTCTGGGATGCCGGTGGATGCAGACTGCAGCCAGGACTGGTCCCAGGAGCTTGAGGAGGGACCGTCCCAGAGTGCACTCAGATCCCGGACCGGAGACAGCCCTTCGTGGGGCCCCCGTGGTGGGGGACAGTGATAAGGGGCCAGGAAAGCCACCACTCACCTCTGCCTCCAGCTCAGGCTGGGAGTGGCGGCTCGCGGGGGCCTGAGCACCACGCAGGCACTGGGCAGACTCCCAGGGTGGCTGTACCTGGTCTACCTCATCCTTTCCCTCTGAGGGCTGTGATGCAGCAGGCCCCGCTGAGCTCAAGCAAGGTGGGTTTGGGGAGACCCCAGCACCTTTGGGGCTGCCGTCCCTGCTCCCAGGAGGTGGAGGCTGTAGCTTCTTGCTTGGCCGCACTTCGAGCCCGGTTGGGCTAAGTGCACAATAATGTGGGTGATTTGATTTTAGGCCAAGAGCCCTCTGGAACTTTCTGGAGCTCTGGGTCTCCTCTGTCAGCTGCCTGTAGCCTGGATGCCCAGGCCTCAGTGGTGGGACCAGGGGTGTCCCCAGCCCTGTACCTTCCCCTGTTAGATTCAGCAGACTTGAGCTCTGCCAGGGGGAGAGCCCCGCTCGTGGGGCTGACAACGTCAGCAGGGTTACTTAGCAGAAAATTTCCTGGTGCCAGTGCTGTGAGGATGGAGAGCGGGGGGGGGGGGGGGGGGAGGAGGGGAGGGGGGGACCGGATGTTCTGAAGCAGAGCAGCCTGCAGGAGGCCAGCCGTAGCAGTCGGCAGGGTGGTCCCAGCTACCTTTACCCCCAGCCCCACCCCAGCTGCCCGATGGGCTGGGGGCTGCCCCTCAGCGGCCCTTTACCCACTGGTGATGGGGAAGGCAAGAGGGGTCGCTCTCCTCACTCCTGCCCAGGCAGGTGCAGCCACCCACCCTCGCAGGCCCTCTCGCTCCCAACCCAGCCTCAACCCTCCCCGAAGTGGATGCTGGCGGGCTACCTAGCGCGGGGACAAGATCTGAGATCTCAGCCGGCTCCTCGCACACGGAGGGGATGCACACCTAGAGAAGACGCGTTCCCAAGCGCAGCCGGCTCCTTCTGCGTCACAGGGCTCGGTGCGGACCAGCCGCAGGGTTGGGCGGGAGCACGGGCCCCACAGCGCCCGGCATCCTGCTACCCCTCTGAGCTCTTCTCAAGTCCAGGCGGTGCTGCTGTGGGGACCCCTCCTCACCGCGCCCCCGGGCCTGTGTCCCCGCAGCCTTGGCTCTCGTGTCGGGCAGCCACAGGCTCAGTGCCGCCACCTCTCCCTTCCCCGCGTTCCCAGGGCTCCAGGAACCCGTGTGGAGACCGCGCCCAGAGCGGGACCCGCGAGTCTTTGGAGAAGAGGTGGCCGTGCTGGGCTGGAGCGCTGGACTCGTGCGGGCCGGGCTTGCAGTCCAGCTCTGGCGCCCTTGGGCCAGCCGTTGGAGCCTGGGGAGCCCCAGCTTCCCTCCTCTGGGAATCGACAAGAGCTCATCCCTGCCAGGCCTGGGGGCACATGTGCCCAACGCAAGCCGCCCCTGCCCCGGCCTGGTGCTCTGGGTGCGGATGACAGGGGTAGGTGCCCAGGGGACAGTGCTGCTCCCAGCCCCGACTCTGTTCCGCCAGGCTTCCTCCCCCCCAAGAGCCCCCTAAGGCTACACAGAGGAGGAAGGGGGGATGTCCCTGAAGCCATGGGGTCCGGGGTGGGGGAAGGGGAGACGCGGGGACCGGGGACTCTTGGACAGCAGACACTCAGCCCCAAGTGCGTGTGTGCTGGGGAGGTGGGGAGCCCAGGCGCCACCGCACTGCAGAGTTTGGCCACGGGACAGCGGGGAAATTGGGGCCTGAACCCAGCGCCCGGTCCAACAGCCCGAGGCGCCTCGGTAGCGATGAAGTAAGTCCCCACCGACGGGCGAGGGCAGCGCGGGCGCCTGAGGGACGCGGGTGCAGCCTCCTGCGGTTTATTGATTGAGCAAAGTTCAGCAAAGTGCTTCCGAGCGGGCCGAGCCCGGCCCGACGCGTACAGTCATTTATAAATTTAAAACTCTTCTGTAGCAACCGGCTATGTGCAGAGTCCACGACGGAGGCCTTGCGAAAGCCCCGGCGGCGGGCGCCTTCGGGTCCCAGTCCGCGCCGCGCTCAGAGGTGCGGCGCGTAGAAGGCGGGCGCGCCGTAGGTCTGCGAGCCCAGCACGAAGGGCGACAGCACGGCCGGGCTCGACAGGAAGGGCAGCTGCGCGGCGCACACCAGGCCGCCGGGGCCGTGCGCCGGGTACGCGGCGGGGCCGTGCATGGCGAGCGGCGCGCCCATGGGCGGCGACGGGCTGAGCGGGCTGAGGCCGCCGGGCAGCCCGGCGCCCGGCCCCGCGCCCGGCCCCGCTGCGCCGCCGCCGCCGGTCGGCGCGCTCGTGTCGGCACCGGGGTTCTGCTTCTTCCACTTGGTGCGGCGGTTCTGGAACCAGATCTTCACCTGCGTCTCGGTGAGGCTCAGCGACAGCGCCAGGTTGAGGCGCTCGCACACCGACAGGTAGCGCGTCGCCTTGAACTTGTTCTCCAGCGCCACGAGCTGCTCGTAGGTGAAGGCGGTGCGCGCGCGCCGCGGCTTCCCGGACTTGGAGTCCGAGCCCGCGCGCTTCCGCTTGGGCTTCGTGGCCGCCGCCGCGCCCTGGGGGGTCGCCCCCGCGCCCCCCGCCGCCGCCGCCGCCGCGGCCCCAGGCGGGCCCGGGGCTCCGGGCGAGTTCCCGCGGGGGCCGGGGGCCGCAGCCTCATCCGCCGCGCCGGGGGCCGCCTCGGCCTCGGCCGCGCCAGGGCAGCCCGACCCGCGGGCCGCGAGGCCGCCGCCGCCTCCCCGCGCCTCCTCCGCGCCGCGCGCGGTCCCCGCGTCGGGCGCCTCGTCGTCGTCGTCGTCGTCGGGCGCCTCGTCCGCGCTGTCGGCGCTCGGGCTGCGGCCGCCGCCGCCGTAGCCGCTGGCCTCGGCCTCGTCCGCCTTGTAGGGGTCGCCGGCGTCTGCGGGCGGGCGGGGCGGGGAGGACAGGACAGTTAGGACGCGGCGCCCTCCCCTGCGCGCGCCCCTGCCCGCGGCCGTCGGGCCCGGGAAGCGCTCCCTCCCCCCGGGCCGTCGCTTCTCTGCGGTATTGCCCCCCTCCTCTTCTTCTCCTTAGCGCTTTCGTTGTCCTCCCGGCTTCGCTGCGCGCCCGCCCGCGTCTGCTCTGCATCCCTGCCTCGGTGCCTCTGCCCGAGCCGGGCCGGCCGGTGCCGCGCGCGGGTTTGCGGCGGAGTGAAAGCTCCGATCGATCCGCGGGGCAGATACAAACTTAATTAAACTCATTTTGTGTAATGTACAAACTAGTTAACGGCCATTTAATTTATTTCGGCGTATATTACCCTCCAATTACGGAAAGGCGCGGGCCAGCCAATTACTGGGCATTTCAGAGCCGACGGGCCAGAGGCCAGGGATGGGGCTGGAGCCGGCTGCCGGGAGGGAACTTCTGGAGACCAAACCCGGCCGCCCATTTCCACCTCAAGCCTCCGGGCCCTGGATCGTGGCAGCCCTCCGCCCCTCAGCTGAGAGCCCGGCCGGTCGGGGTCCTGACCAGGAGGTCCCGGCCTGGGCGGTGGGGGTCCTGAGCAGTGCTAACTCCGGGGGTGGGGGTGGTGTCCCCGCTAGGTCCAGTCTGAGCAGAAGCTCCAATCCTCCAAGCAGAGGCCCCTGAGGTGGCTGCATTTCGAGTGTGGAAAATTTGGAAGGCAAGAGTCTGTCCTGGGCAGGGCCTGGGAGGGCATCTATGCAGCCTGCACCCCACAGGTGGTGGTGTAGCCATGAGAAAAAGGCAGGGCAGGTGCTGTACACAGTGCTACCCAGTCAGGCACCAAGCCCCCGCTGCTGAGTCAGGTTGGCATCAAGAACCCGGTGAATAAATGTCAAACTGGGTGCTAGCAGACTTCCCCAGGGCAACTGCAGAGGTTGCATGGAAGTCAGCAGGGCAGGTTTGGGGGGCGGGGCGGGGGGGGGGGGCACCCACACCCCTTAGCGGGAGCAGGCTGTCCCGTAGAGGACCCTGAGAGCCCCTGGCCATCTAGTTTTACCTTGTCGGGGTAGTCTGAGGAGGAAGAGGGCCTGACTAGGCTCCCCACGAAATCAAGAGACAGGGCCTTCCCCTGGGATGGGCTCCCCATGCGGGTGGAGGCTCTGGGTGGAGACTTCCAGAACTCCGGCTAGGCCCAGAGCCCGAAGGGTTCCCCTCCAGCCAACCTGGGTTTGCTCTTCATCTAGACCACACCTGGATCAGGCGAGTCCATGTACCCCGAGGCCCCTATGCCCCAAGACTGCGGCCCCAGCCCTGTCCCCCCTGAGCTCCCGTCCTTGCTCTGCCAAGGGGCTGGGAAGTTGGAGGGAGGAAGGGCCGGAGGAGGGGGCACCAAAAGCAATCAGGAGCCGGTCGAATGCAATTCTCGATCAATAGCGGCCCCTAATAAGTGTAATAGGTTTTAATCGAGTAATTATCCGAATTTTGACCCTATAATTTAGATGTTCGGGGGGAGTTTGCAAGGTGCTTGAAAGAGATATGCATGCTGCCCTAATGGGATATCGACCGGGCCGGGGGCGCGGGCCGCCCCATTACCGGCCGCTTTCCGCCGCTAAGCACATTTCCCCTTAACTGTAATCGAAGGGATTTAATTGTTTTTCCAGAGATAACCAGCGTTTTGTCACAATTAGTCTGATTTGTCCAAAAAAAAAAAAGAGGAGAAGGAGAAAAGGGGGAGGGAGGCCTCGGGCGGCGGTGAGGGCGGGGAGGTCACGGGCCCGCCGCCTCGCAGGTCCCCTCCTCCTCCGCACCAACCACCTTCCAAGGCCGGCCCTGCAGCCCCGCAGCCCTGGGACAGGCCCGGCGGAGCCATCCCGGGAGGCGCGGGGCGGCAGCGGCCCCGGAGTCCGGGTCGGACGGAGCCCCGCGCGCTGCGAACTTTGCACTGAGCCCCGGCACTCGGCGGGCCCGGCTCGCCCAGGGGCCCGGGAGCGTAAACGCATAGATGCGGCCCGTCCCCCGGCTCCCGCGGCCGGCGCGGGCCGCGTCCTACTCACGCGGCGGCTCAGCTCCGGTGGCGGCTCCGGCTCCTCCGGCGGCGGCGAGGGCGCGGCGCTCCAGCTCCTCTGCGCGCGGCGGGCGTCCCGGGGCGGCGGGGGCCGGGGCGCACGGGGCGCACGCGGCGGGCGGCACGGGGCCCAGAAGCACACAGCGGCGTCTTCTGCTGTTGAACTTGTTGGGGTCCAGAATGTCCAGCACCGAGAAGGAGGTGGGGCGCGGCGGCGGGCCAGGCCGGGCCGCCCCGGCCCCTTCGGGCGCCGCGGGCGCCGTGTCGCTGGCGGCGAGCGGCGGGGGTCCGGCCCGGGGGAAGGCGGGCAGCTCGGCGCGCCCGTCCATGGCGTCCCGGGCGGCGGCGGCGGCGGCGGCGGGCGTGGGCGGCGCGGGCCCCGGGCCGGGCCCGGGCGGCGGCGGCTGCAGCGCCGGGCCGTCCCCGGGAGCCGCCGGGCCGCTCGCGCTCATGCCGGCCTCCCGCCGCTGCGGCCGCTCGGGCCCCGCTGGCTACTGGGCTCCCATCGCCGGCGGCCCTGGCGCGGCCGCACGGCCTCGCGCAGGCGGCCGCGGCTCGGCTGGCTCTGGCGCCGTGCCCCGCGCTCGCCGCGGCTGCCCAGCGCTGCCTCCGCCGCCGCCTCAGGCGCCCGCCGCGCCCGGCCCGCGCATTTATGGCGGCCCGGCCGGCGGCGCCCACGCGCCCACACGCCGCACACACGTGCGCCCGCAGGCGGCCGCGGGGCCCCGCCGCCCTCGTTAGCGCGCGCGCCTAATTGGCTGCGAAGGGTCCCGGGCGGAGGAGGCGGGCCCCGCGCGGGACACACGGACGGAGCCCCGGGCCCGACCGACAGACGCGCAGCCCGCAGCCCGAGTGCGGGCCGCGAGCGCTGTGGCGGTGAGCGGCGCGTCGCTGCGCCTCCGCTCGTCCAGAGGCGGTGCGCCTGCCTCCTGGGCGAAGGGGGAGGAGACAGCCCTGGCTTTTAAATAATTGCGGGATCAATCGGCGGAAGGGCCGCGGAGGCCCCGGGGCGCGCGGGCGGGCGAGCGCTAAGACTTGGCTGGGACATCCCGGCGCGGGACGCGGCGCCCAGGCGGCCTCTCTGCCGGCTCCGGGGAGCGCAGTCCTGCCACTCTGGCGGTGCCCGAGGCTCCGGCGTCCCTCAGCGGCTGGGGCGGGGGTGGGTCCTCGAGGGCAGACTCCGGGCGTCTGCCTCGCGTCTCCAGCCCCCTCCCACGCGTTCCGTGGACGTCGGTCCCGCCTCTCCCGGTCGCTCCTCTCGGGGTCTCCTCTAGCGTCTCCGGGTCTCCCTTGCTCAGGGGCTCTGTCCCTCCAGCCCCTCCCGCTCCCGCCCCCTTCGCGTCGTCAAACTAGGGCCCGGCCTTGTGTCCCCGCGAGGGGCGGGGCCGGCGGCCCCTGGGTCGCTCATTAGAAGTGGGATCGAAAATGAGGGAGGCTGGACGGCCTCCAAGATGGGGACCGAAGAATCCTACAAACAGCAGGCGGCCTACATAAAAATCAATACCCTTTAAGTAAGGGGACACAACGGCAAACTCTTCCATCCCTACGCCGGGAGAAATAAGAAGCCCTTCGGTCCGGGTCTTTATTTGCGCGTATTTAATCTACCGCTGCGATGTTTGCACCGCAGGGCCCTGCGGCCCTCGGAAGGACCTGCCTGCGTCCGGCGTCCGAGGGTAAGACCGCCTCTGCTCCTCGGCAGCGCCCTCCCCCCTCTTCCCGCCGCAGAGCCAGCGAGCGCTTGGGCCGCTGGTGGGACCCAGGTGGGAGCCGGCGGTGGGAGCGTGCCTGCGAGGGTCTTCAGGGTGTGAGGCTGAATGTGATGGGTGTGAGTGTGCGCGCGGGCGTGTGCACGAGCGGTGTGCGCGCCACCTCACGCTGCGGTCCCCGGAGCCTGCTCCTCACACAAGGACGGGTCCTTTGCAATTACCGCGGGCAATGATCCTTTGGAAGCAGAAATTAAAAGTTGGGAGAAATAATGGGGGACCAATCGGCTGTAATTTGGGCCAAGCTCGGACATGCTGAGCCTCAGGGAGACTGGGGCTGGGGGGGAGGCAAGGCCTTCCCTCTCCCAGCCCATCCCCTCCCCCGCATGCTGGTCCATCCCGAGATTCTAATCAGACCCACAACACTGTGTCCTTCCTTGCCAGGACTTGATTATTCTTTATCTTTAAATTATAAATCACCTCTGGGGGAAGGAGGGTGGATAATCTCTCATCACAGGGAGGTAATTATCTCCTTCCCGCCCCCACCTTCCTGGTGGGACTCTTAGGCTCTCTCTACCCCTCCCCCAGCTAAGTTTGAATATAGATGTGCGCACACACACACACACACACACACACTCATTCAGCAGCACGCACCACATACAATCTCAGATTCATTCATGAGCACCTAGGAACACCATCTCAGGCCCATGATCCACAAATACATTCACTACCCTGCAGTCAGCCTCACCTGCGCCCACCAGCTCTGCGCTTGTCTTGGTCCCCTCTTTAAGTCTTTCCATGAGGAGGGCACACAGGGCCCCTACCTGCCCAGTCCCTGAGCTGCCACTCTGCTCCCATGAGGCAAGGATGAGGTGCCCTAGGGCAGGTCCCAAGTGCAAACTTTTGACTTGGCTCTGGGTGGTTGAGTTTCAGTGTGACCTAGAGCATCACAACCCCCTCATGTGCATGCTCACACTCCATGCCCCACAGGGTCTACCTGTCTTCCACAGGTCACCTGCTGGGTGGGGCAGGGGCTGGGTGTGGGTCTGCTCTCACCCCCATTATGCACACCAGACACCTGCAGGTGAGGAAGAGAAATATGTACAACTTTCATTCAACACAAACACACATAGCATTTTATATAATGTAGATGTAGTATAATGTATGGTATCACTAAAGCATAGTAAACAGAATACAGTATATTAAATATGATATGTAATAAGCATAATGAAATAACATGTTGTAATATACAACCAAACATAATTCACACACTCAGCACAGCAGGATGTGCTCCCTGCTGAGAGGTGGGGGTTGGCTCAGGGCTGAGTGCTACTTGGACAAAAAATGCTGTGACTGTCCAGGAATTTTGAGGTGCCAAGATTCTCCTCCTTGGTTCTCCTCTCCCCTGTCTTCCCTGCCCTGAACTGTCTAATGGGAGCTGCAGCAGTCAGAGTAATGAACTGCAGAGTCTGACCCGGGGAGCAGGGGCAGGGCAATGGAGTGTGAGGGGAGGCCTCCAGCGCTATACAGAGGACCTTGGGTCATGTTCCCATGCGAAGAGGGGGTGCTATGTGAGGACAGGGGTCAGGGAGATCATGGCATCTGCTCCTGCCCCACTCCTCCCCCATCTCTAAAAAACAACCCAAGTCATGGGGATGCACAGCACCCGTCCTACTCTCTCAGATACCTGGGAACGACCCTCCCCTCCCCCCAACTTCAACTCAGAGCGTCCAGGGCTATAAAGACGTCCTTTACTCCTAATCACAATTGATTGTCAATTAGACCCTCATTTGTGCAATCTTTGCCCATCTGCCATATCGGGTTATCTCCAAGCCACCAGCTTCACTTGCGGGGCCCCAGGTGGGCACTGACAGGTGAAATCAGTGCCTGAGATAGGGATGCCTCTGCCTACCCAGTGGACAGGAGACACCCCTTCATTGCTAAGCCTCCACTCACTGCACATCAGCAGGACCAGATGGAGTCATTGGCAGGCTGGGGGAGGGGCTGCACCAAAGCAGGAACCAACATGGAACAAGTATAGAAATCTGAGGGAGGGACTGGTGGTAAAAGATCTAGGTGGCCTAGGGAAAAGTAGTGGGTGAGGGCTGAGATTATGCGAAGAGGAAGGGGAGGTTTTTGAGGGAGAAGGATTGGGGAGAGTTAAACATCCAGCCCTTTCAATCCATGGCCATAGCCTCTCCCCAACATCAGAGTTTTTGGAAGTTTGGGGTGCACAAGAGCAGGAGGGGCATCCCACCCCTGCCACTAATTTATCATGTGTTTATGAACTCCCTCCTCAATGTTTTCTTCTGTCAAATATGGGGGTTGGATTCTATGTGATCTTTAAGGTCCCTATACCTCCCCTGTGAGTTGAATAACAACACAATCACAGCCTTCATTGTACATGGGGGTGGAGGGGCCTCCCTTCTCTTGCACCTGGAGAGCTTTATTGGACAGGATGGAGGGGCAGCAATGTTCTGGGGTTTATAGGGCACATGGATGGATAACCCCCACTTTGTATAATGTCTGCTTCATGCAAAGCACACCCCACCCCAGACTGTCCAGCACCCCTCCAACATCACTGTGAAATATGCAGGGAAGAAATTATCACCCCCATCTACAAATTAGTGTTCTGACTCTTTGAGTCCATACTGGGTCCTGCTGATGACATAATGCTGTCTCTGATCGGGCCATCCTCCTGTACACCTGTGGGAAGGATGCAGGAGGTAGGGGCGGAGATGGACAACAGAAGGCTTCTACGCTCCCTCCTCTTGCCTCTTCACCCGCTCCACTCCGTGGTGAACCCTTTTGCTCACCCAGAGTTTGGAAAACAAGAGGGGAACTTTCCAGTTTTCGGCTTCTTTACTCATCTTTTAAGATATGCCTCTTCTGGGGTCTCCTAACTTCTCGAGCAAGGGTACCGCACACTCAGAACACCAGAGAAGAGAGGAAATAGCCACGGCACCAGGGGCATCTTCAGATCCACGGACAACGCCGAAGCACGTCAGTACCACGGACAGCACTCCCGACGGCCCTGCCCGGACTGCGCTTGCGCCCGCTTTCAGCACCGCGGACAGCGCAAAAGCCTCCAGGCGTCTTTACTCTCCCTGATAATCAACCCGCTTCTGTGGCCCGTCCTTGGCTCTCTCCCCCAAACTCTGGGATACCCCAGAGGAGGAAGAGGGCGGCAGGTTGTGTATTGTGTGGCGTCCTGGCACAGGATATGCTGCGCTCCAGCTCATTCACCATGGCCAAGCCAGAACCATCCAAACGGCCAGGGAGTTTTACAAGGTTTTCACTGCCTGGGTGTGAATGCTTCTCTTTGTAAGCTGCGTGGAGTTCAAAATGAAAAGCACGTAGCGCTGGGTCTGGTTCATGGCAAGGGGTCGGTCAAATGCAAAAGTGAGGTTTAAACCCTTTAAACTTAAGACAAAAACAAAATCCCAGATCATCAAAACTGGGAGTGGCTCTCGGGCTGTGTGTGGAGAGCAGGACACCCAACTCCCATGGCAGCACGGGGGAGGTGGTGTCCAGCTTCCTCTCTTGGCCTCGGAGGACATCCTAGCTCCAAAGGGTTTTCTGACCAGAGGATAGGGCAGGGGTGAGGATTACCACCTCACAGATGGGTGAACTGAGGATGAAGAGGATTGATCACGTGCTCAAGGTCATCCAGCCAGTATGTGGTGGAACTCTGATGTGAATGCTGGGTCTTACTGATGCCAGCATTCTTAATGTGCAAAGTGACAGATAATCAACAACCAGGTTCCAAAGAGAAGGCAGTCCATGTGGGGTGCCCAGAGGGGTCCTCTCTCTTCAGGATGCCCCTTGCTGCCCTTGGTCTTTCCAGCTGCTTTACCTGCCACTGGTCCATCTCACAGGGGTAACAAGGATGTCCAGGTTCA